GATGGTACCCCTATAACACACATGCCATGGAATCAAGGACAACCAGAAGGATATAATCAAACTATCTTAGTCGTCAATGCGCAAAACCAGGCCCTTTTCCACGACGATGTCGATACACATAAAATTAGATTTGTTTGTGAAAAAAATAATATAGCTTTTGAATTAACGATAAAATAATCGGATTTTCATTAAAAATTGTAGCGGCGTTTTGCATTTGCGCCGATCTGCATTTCACTTGCGCCGATTTTTTCTTTCACTTGCGCCGATCATTTCTTTCATTTGCTCCGATTGTTTTACAGGTAAATTACAGGTGAAAACTATTTTTATTTATCATTATAAACCTCTTCCGCTAGCCAGTTATACATATGTTATGAATTATCAAAGTTAAAACATGCATATAACTGTTGCCCCCTGCCCACAATGGGGAGGTGAAAGTAGGATTTCGAGCAAAACAAGTCAACTTTAAGATTAAAAGCACTCTGTTTACATCCACTAAAATAACTGAGTATAGCAATAAAATATCAAATGATATAAAAATCTATTTACAGCCTTAAAAGTGTTAAAGGACAATAAAACCTCTTTTCGCCATGAAAAAAGCACAGCACTAAAATGCAAAAAGGAGCAAATGGAACTTGAAATTATAAAATCGGCGCAAATGTGATACGCCCAATTGTAGGCTATATTTTAATTACACTTTCGGTTGATAAGTTTTCCAATCAATCAAAATTGATAATTAGTCACATATTTTTATGCTAACAAAGAGAGGCGGAAAATACCAAAAGGGATATTCAAATTCATGAGTTGAAGACAAACAGACAACGACATGGCAAAAAAAAAACGACGAAAAGAAAAACAACTTTTTATAAAACACATCGTTGAAAACTGAGATACCAGACCCCAAACGAACCTTGGTTTATTTTATGTGCTCCGGAACTGCGGAAGGATAAGCAGATTCCGTTCCAAATGTAGCATCCGTCGTTTTCGTACAAATTCGATGATAAGTCTAAATCCGGGATGTCACATTCGAGTTTCAAAATGACTTCTACACTTCAACTTTATGAATGAAGGTGTACAAATAATTGCAAGATCTTTATAACATCACTTACGAATATTTTTCATACATACGAATTGCAATAGAAGGCAAATAATTTAAAAAGCGTGAAAGAAAGTATCATATAACTTTTATGATTAAATGTTGGTTTTGTATTGATAGTCTTGTATCAAAACGACAAACAACGTGACTTACTATCTAAACATAAGGATGCCCAAAATTTTAAAAAGTTTAAAAAGAATTGTTTAAGTCATATTCATATCAAACTGTTCCAGGTATGGTAATTTAATGTTTAAATCATTTGTGTATCACTGTTCATATATTATTTTAATGAATTATCTTAATGTTGAGATTTGCAAAGAACATAACTTTTTAAAGCCTATTAATAATTGAAAACATATATCACATATAACATATAACAATTCATACAAACAATGTTATAATAGGCTCCATTGAGATATCTGTGGTAGCTTAAATGCTCGAATGCGGAAATATCATGGGTTCGATTCCGACCGCATTAAAAAAAACTTATCGGCTAAGTACACGATATAAAGGTTGGTCGAGATAAGATGTGCTCGTCCTCATATATGCTACTGGACGTCAAACATCCATTCATTATCCATCAATTTATCTGAATTTCATAGACAAAACGTATTTTGTAATACTAATAAAATCAAATGATTCATTCAATTATTCAATTCAAACTGATATTCTAAAATATTGGACGGAATGCTCTTAAACTGTGGATTTTTAATAAAAATGCACGAAAAGCCGTCAGTTAAGTAATTGTAAATTAAATTCTTATTGAGACAAATGGTTAATACCCAAGGTATACAACTTCATCTCGTCCCCGAAACATATACATAAGTATACACATTTATGAACACTTCATAAATGTGACATTAACATTATTTTAGCATGAAGGCATCTATGGAAATTAGATTTCGCAAGGCAAAATAACATTAGGTTTTAGAACCTACAAGTTGGGGAGCATTCTCCTACTAAATCTAATTCTAGACAAACGCTGAGCAATTTAAGATTTGAACATGAAATGATGAAATTCCCCAACGGTTATGTTGTTTCTGTCATATTATTTTAAGTTTTTGGAATCGTAGTCATACAGTCCACATCTATATTTAGGCACCCGGCAAGTTACGAAAAGTTAAATATAGCTTAAATTGATTATGCTTTTGTTTGGAAATTACATACAATAAGACAGTAACTAGCCTAACTAAATCGATATTTTTTATTTGAATTAAAAATTAATTTTGTATTATCTGTTGGAGGTATACACATGCATAAATAGAGAAAAAAAAAAGAAATACAATTTAACTCATTTTTTTATATATTTTTTTTTAAATAAATAAATTTCAAATATAAGTTCCAAGTAAACAATGAATATTGTGCAGTAATAATCTTAGAATCATGTTATTTTACATGGCAACCCTAAATAGTCATTACCACCGTAGAATGACCAATATGTTATTTATCTATTATATGATCAATGCTCGTTATGCGCTTGTCGACAGAATTAAACATACAGAATGATAGAATGATTATGGTACCGAGTTTGAATCATACACTCCATAAAAAGTTAATTTAAATCTGTTTATTTCTGCAAGATGTTTACATTGTTTGTTATCCCGGAAAGTGTTATACATTTTAACATACTTGTACATGATATAGATGTAAATAATTTTATTACTACTTACACAAAACTATGGTTAAGAAACTATATAGAAGTGGAAAATAAATTAATCGTTTTGCTCAGTCTTTAGTTTTCTGTGTAGTGGTAATTATCCTTATGTCGTTTTTTTTTTGTTTTTTCCATGGTATTGTTGTTTTCTTCTATTTCCGATTTTTTTTATATCCCTGTAGTACAATCTGCCTCATTTGTATATGTTTCTAAGCCATGTGCACACGTGTTGCAACAATGTTTTGATATATTGATATTTGCTTCACGTCCAGTGGCAAATATCAAATAAATATTCATTTAACAAATTAAAAATAAATTGATAGGCATGCAAAAAGGTTAAACAAGGATGAATGGCAGGAAATTAAGAAAATGTTGACATGTTGGATAAGGCATACATTTTGGACCTACAATGAACAAACTACAGACACTGGAAGAGTTTTTTAAAGGATATTTTAACATACAGTGGGCGTGAGATTTTCCAAACATTAAGATTTTATTAGTTGTAAGTTACTGGGAGTGCTCTTAAATCGGTACTTTGTGTCTTTTTCGTTTCATCTTTTTGTAGTTCATTTTTGAGCTGAAATGCTGGAAAAAATATATAAAGCTACTTAAGTTAAGAATTATTCCGAACGGACGGATTTTTCTACATGTCCTACGATAAATTAGTACTACGATTTGATATCTAAACTTAAGTGGTTTTATGCATATCAGTCCTGGACTTAAATCGACACCACTTAGGTTTTACAGTAGCCATCAAGAATTTTGGATCCTGATTGATATCATGTTTATATATATCTCAAAGAAGCAGATATACTGTGCGGTTATAACACCAGAATAACCTCATGATCTGTAAGGGAGGATGTATGATTAGGCCAATGTTTCTGTCCCTTGAATTCGAAAATCAAAATGTCTTGTATGTACCAGACACCGCCCTTGAGATGTTCAAAAGACTTTATTCTGACATAATCACATTAAGACTTCAAACTTCTTGAATACATTGCAAAAACTGCTGAAATATATTTATTCTGAAATATTGTCAAGTATCTATTTTTGGTAAAGGCTTGGCACATATATATTTTGTTAAAAAAAGTATTTGTAAAATGGCAATTTTGGGGTCAAATATGTCATTTTCAACATGCTTATAACGTCATACTGACTTCACGAGTGACCTTTCAGTATTTAATGTCCAGAATATATTAATCTGCTCATTTATCAATAACAATAATTTTACTATTTTTGTAATTTCAGCGGTAGGGGGAGGGGAGATTGGAGTGGTGATGACTCTTATCATACATCTGTGTTACAATAACTTAAAAAGAAAAAAAGTACAAAATGTTACTATATAGAAACAAATAGGCCCCTTAAAGACCTATTGTGGTCAGTTCTATGCATATGTATATTTAAAAAAAAAAAGTGGAAAATTTACTTAAATATAAATTTGCAGCTGGCACTGAGTTTAAATTAATATCAACAAGCATAAGATACACATAAAATACTAACATACTTTCTTTTCATTTGTTTTAAATTGATATCTTTTTCCCTTTTATTTCATATCATAAAAAGTAATATTTCAAAATTTTCGCCTTTCAGAGCAAATATATGCGCAAGTGTATTTATTTAAAATTGGGGTCGTTCGACTTTACAATTTTTGTTTTATGGACAAATTACACGTAGAAAATTGATAGATGATAAAAATTACGTTTTGTACTTTCCCAAGTCATTTACACTCAGTAACACATCTGTAGTTTTCAACTATACTGCTTTATTTAAGATTTACGTGCCATCTCGGAATCTAGAGTAATGACGTATGGCATGACGTAATTGACCAATGTCAAAATCATCCTGGTAAAAGCAACCTGGGAACTTTTAGTGCAAATAGAGAGGGAATCCTTTTATAAAGTTTTCAATGCTTAGATGGCCTGTTATGTTCACTTGTTGGAATTGTTGACCGAAAATAAAAAGCGTTACATACAAGGAAAGGGGAAAGACACATTCCCTATCGATTTTATTGTACGGAATTTCCTGTTTTATGCTTCAAAATATAGAAAATCTAATTTTCGTTTCTTGTTTAGATATGTAACTTGCAGACGACACGTACATTAGTGATTATAATTTAAGTGATAACAATCATTGACAACTGAATAATATATTAGCAATCACTGTGTTTTCGAGAAAGACAATTCATTTGTAAATCATTATCATCAAAAAGCACTCAATTATGACCGTGTCATTAGTTGAGTAAAATTATTTCAAGTAAAAACACCACGTTAAAATGGTAGCTAGTTTCTTGAATTTTTTCTATTTTATAGTTATTAGTTGTATGACTTTAATTCTAAAACCTATTGATGGCGATTTTCTTAAAATAACAGAAAGAAAAGAATTGAGGAATAAACATATGAAAGGAAATCTTGTTAAATCTATGACGACAGAGACCAGTATAGAGTGCTTTAGACAATGCAATAAACTTACACAATGTTCATCAATGTCTTACAACCAACAAAATAAGATCTGTTATATGTACTCTAGGTTAAACACATATTCAGATGGAACCGTGGAAAAGGGGAGGATGTACTATTTGAAAGGTTAGTTTGTCAATAAATTTTTTTTTAAATGTTATGATATTTTAAGGAATATTTTGGGCCAATAGTTCCTAGTGGTATAGTTGTATCCATTCCTTTGAAAATTGACGGACGCCATACTGATTTGATTGACCGTTATGGAATATCTGTGTCACAGTTGACGACGGATTTGTTCTAATCGTCGTAGCCACTATCTCCCCTCATTTTTTCGATTGAAACATCACCGAATGTGACTTATCGTCGAATTTGTACTGGCCATTGGAAACATAACAGGTGCCATATGCTCTGCTTATCCTTCATGAGCACCTAAGATTGGTCGGGTTTTGTTGGGGTTTGTGTTGCTCAGTTTTTAGTCGGAAGGCGCTGGTTATCGAACTCGTCCAAACCTTACTGACAACAAAAAAATGATTTGAATTTCATAAAATCCGATCAGAATGTAGGTTTTTGCTCAATGTTAAAGCCGTATGGCGTCAAATAGTGGCGTACAAACACGTCATTTGGTCACTTTTCGAAAATTATCTCATTAGCAATCATACCACATCTCATTTTTTTTTTTTATTAATAGTGCTTCTACTAAATTTTCTATAGAATTTACATTTCTTAGGGTCTCAAATCCAGTAAATACTAAAAGACTAAACGGATTCAAAAATTCTTCACTTGACGACGCTTGCATATCATGATCAAATATTTTACAAAGTTTGAAATGAATCAAACAAATGTTAAAGAAGTTGGGTGTTGGACAGTGTCAAAACTTCTTAGTTGAAACTGACATAACCCTTAAAAAACTCAATAGACGGGAATATCATATAACCACATGGATAAACTTAGTTTCATACAGACATCATAAACCATGTCAGAGGAACTGTAAAACTGAAAATGTCAGTTCTGCTAAAATTTCTAAGTTGAAAAGGCATAACTAAAAATAACCCAGTGGACCGGAACATCCTTTACAAATGCACGTCTCTATTTAAGGATCTAACATTGTACTGAGTTTCATGTCGAAGGAGTTGCAATGACGAGGCCGGTTTTAAAAAGGATATTTTGTGAAAGGGCAACCAAGATTTTATATAAACTTAACAGAATACAAACTCATTTACACTAATATGTTTGCATATCATTATCAATTATTCTGCAAATTTTGAAGAAAATTAAAATAAAGGACAAAAAAGTTGGTTCGGTAAGACGGACAGACAGGACAATTCCTATATACCTCCCAAAATATGTTTACGAGGGTATACTTATTGATGAGTGCTGATCTTCGATATCAACCAAGATTGTGTCGATTATAAATTAAACATTTCATAAACATTTCATAAAAATTCCTTCAACAATGTAGGCGGGATATTTCTTACAATGAAATTTTTCATATAATTTCTTTCGATGAGTATACCTCATCGAAACTTCGGCAACAACAATTTATCAGTAGTCAATGAAATTAATCCTATCCATAAATTTCGCGCATCCTAAAAAGAGAGGTGAAATATACCAAAAGGATTTCCAAACTCAAAAGTAGAAGAAAAATTGACAACACCTTGGTAAAAACAAAAAAGAATCATAGTGTTTGTTAGCGCTGAGGGATAAAGATTGCCTTTATTTTGCAATTTTGTGAATTTTTAAAATAAAACATTTTATTGTATTTTGCCAGGCAAATCAAACATTTGAGTTGGATTAACTTCCTTTGTTCATGATTGTACATTTGAAGTTGAACCTATTTTTATAACAGATTCATACACCATGCATAACTTTTAATAAAAAATGCTTTCTAGACCAGTATGGGATTTCAAATAAATTTTTAAATTTAGGAAGCTGAAATCATCTCTTTTCTCTTAAAGTTTTGTTTTGAACCGACCTTAATTGTCAATTTCTAGATATGAAGCAGACTTAACTGTATCTGTTGTATCGATGGCATAGATCCGTTACCACATAGTCACCAAACTTTGAATTATTTAGTGAGTGGACATCATATGTACAACGGTACGTGAAGTTAAAGGAGATTCCTAGATTTTTAGGCTTCTATATGAACTCTGCCTTACATGAATGAATTTACAGGTCGGCAAGAAGTAGAAAACAGTTCGTTCCTATTGAAATGCCGATTGTTTGTTAAAAACACGTCCTCCAAACGTAACAAATATGTAACAGATTATTTTTCTTTAATCAGAGTGGTTTTTATTTTACAAAGTATGAGTTAAAAGACCTTCCATAAAACAAGATATTGGTACTAGTATCTACATTGGCCATTAGTTTTTATCAATCAAAGTAAGACCAATTCTTTCAATTTTCCTTATATTTGGAATGGGAATACTTGTGAAACGGTAGAAAAGTCGAAAGTTTTTATACCCTTTAAAGAGGTAAGATACATAGATCGTATGTTTGTATTGGATACCTAAGCTTCACAAAATTCCGTACAAACAACGGTACATTGTACTGTTCTACAAAAGAATTGTCCATTAGATTGACTTGACAAAAATTCTGTCCGCAGTGAAAGAAAGTCTTCAGAAATACTGTGAAACTGTTTACTCGCGTAGTGGTATTAGCCATATGTGGATTCTAAAAAACTATAAAAAAACTTCTGATAATTTTAGATCTCGATCTTTCACTGAAATTAATTCTATCAAAACTTTTGATTTTTCAACCCTGTATACCACCATTCCCCATGTGAAATTAAAAAAATCGACTAAAAGAAATAATCAACAATGCTTTTCAATATAAACATGGTAGTATACGCTATAAATTTATTACTTTGGGATACCATATGGCATATTTTGTTAATAGTGAACAAAATGGTAAAACATGCTACACAGAGGAACAAGTGATCAGTATGATGGAGTTTCTTATTGACAACATATGTGTTGAATTTGGAGGTAGACTTTTTCAACAAATTGTCGGCATTCCTATGGGAACGAACTGTGCGCCTCTCCTTGACGACCTCTTCTTATTTTCATATGAGTCGGAGTTCCTTCAGACACCTGGCAAAGACAAAAAGATCAAAGAAGGCAGATCATTTTATTTCACATTCAGATATATTGATGATGTTTTTTCCATTAACAATCCAAACTTTTCTGATTGGGTTTCATTAATATATCTTCCAATATTAGAGAAACAACAGACACGGCTTCCTCCGCCTCATTTTAGCTTCGGACACATGAAGTTAATAACGTGTTGTTTTCATTTTTTTATAGACTTATACTTCGAATTTGACATAAGCTGTCATCTCAGTTCCAGAATCTATGACAAACGAGACGATTTTAATTTTGAAATTATCAATTTCCTCCACCTTAGTTACAATATACCAACTTCACCTACATATGGGATATACATTTCCCAACTCATTTGGTATTAAAGAGCTTGCAGCTGCTACTAAAACTTTATAAAACGTCACCAGCGTCTGAGCAGAAAGTTGATGAACCAGGGTTATGTCAAAGAACGTCTCGTCTTTTTTCCAAAAAAGTTCATCGGAAGATACCAAGACCTTGTTGATAAATATTCCGTATCAACTTCACAAATAATACATGATGGTCTTGAAGTATAGATTCTAGATACTGACGTTGTGTGTGGCTCGATACATCCCGCCATTGTGTTCTTCTGCTTTGGTCATTTTTTGTATTCTTGTCTTTCATTTTTTCATATGTGCTTTGTCTATATGCCATTATAGTCATTAAGATTATAACACAATGTTGACTGCTGTTCCCCTATTTTTGACATTTTTGCCTATAATGTCTATTTGTTTTGTTCACACATTATCGTCAATATAATGAAATTTGATGCGACTGTCATACAAGTGGGAGTTTTAGCTAGCTACAAAACCAGACTTAATCCACCATTTTCAACATAAGGAAATTCCTGTACCAAGTCAGGAATATGACAGTTGTTTTCCACTCGTTTGATGTGTTTGAGCTTTTGATTTTGCCATTTGATAAGTGACTTTCCGTTTTTAATTTTCCTTGGAGTTCGGTATTTTTGTTATCTTACTTTTTTCTAACAGATCTGTGGAATATTTAAGTATCCACATTTGATTCACGCCGCCCTCAGGGTATGTAATTTCACAATAACTCTGATTGCAATAGTTTAGAAAGAGGTTTCATGAAGCAAATTTCAATAACGTAACATGGTAGCCTGATACGGAACAGACGGATGAACATACGGACATAAGCTAGATACAAAAATGTTTGTTTAAAGAAAATGACTCGAACGGACATTTTTATTAATAACTCATTTTAACGAATAACAGCAAAACGTCTCGGAATTTTGGGTCCTTAATGCTTTTCAACTTCTTACTTTATATGACTTTTTTTATTCGAGCGTCACTGATGAGTCTTTTGTAGACGAAACGCGCGTCTGGCATACACAATTTTATCCTGGTATCTGTGATGAGTTTAAAGGGGAAATGTTTCCCATTTTTTGGGTCACACCCCTCTTCCGTTTTATATTTACTAAAAGGTTTGAATATTTATCCTTTCAGTTGAATATTCGCAATATGAGGTAGGAATCTTGATGTATGATTGTTAATATATGCAATATAGATATTTAATGAGTCACTAGACAAAATAGACTTTCTGTGAGGTAAAAAGATTTTTTTTTATTACATTATTATACAGGATATCACTCTGCAATTTAAATATTACAGATGTTAAAAACTGTCCGACAGAAGGAGGATATACGTATAAATCGAGTCCCATGCTGTGCATCAAGTTTTATGATGTTGAGTTAACGTACCAGGAAACTGTTTCTAGATGTCAATCAGAAAATGCATCACTGGTCAGGATAGATAGTCATGAAGTACAAAACGTTTTGTATTCATATTTAGCATGTGAGTATAATGGCCATTTCCCCAATATGTAAGACAAGGTTTTTTTATTTTGGTCTACTAGCTCACACACAGTAAATGCAGTTGTCTATTTTCATTTAAACTAGGTTATATTTCATCAAACTATTTTACTAAAGTAATCGAAATGTATTCGAAAAGTAATTGATGATTACATCACAATTTTTGTTGTAAACGATTAAATTACGATTACATGTAATCGAAAATGTTGTCGATTACAGATAACTGTCGATTACTTGCTTGAATCAAAGCGCGAAAGCGCTGTAAAGGCAGCTAATTACAGGTTGTGTGTATTTTTAGTCCAGTTATATCATTATCTTGCATAGTACATTGTACTTATCAGAAGTGGCTTTCAGTATTTAAGATTTAGAGTTCTCTAATGATATTGAAAAAGTTTTATGAATGTCATATTCTGAGCACTATATGAAGGCGATTGTTCTCACTTGTTTATGAACTAGTGCATTATGTCCAGTTTGTACCTTTTTTATCTATGTTTATAGTCAAATACTGTTTAAAATAGTTTGGCATTTTCTTTTTAGTAATAAGTAAATGTTATCAACTGTATTTTATTCAACTTTGCAAATGTGGTTTGTTACTAGTAAGTACAATGTATGGATGATAGTTGTTTCATTGGCAATCATAACACATCTCCTTATTTATATAATGATCTATATTCAACGACCTCAGGTACAAAAAAAATGTATGTAACTAAACTATGATGGGAAACCTTTGACTTCTTTCTTTAATATAAACTTTCGATTTGGTACCATAGAACTATGTAGAATAAATGTACATTGCAACATGTCAACTCTTTCAAAGACAATACTTTTTTTAGAAACTATAACTCCAAGCAAAATTATATTTCCAAGTATAAAGTAATTTATGAATGAAACAATAGTGCACACGCTGAAATGTCTCGCCTTCTTTACTAATCATTGATATTATGTTGATAGTCCTAAATATAAAGCTTTATTACAACTGTCACATAAACTTAACATTAACCAAGTAAACTAAACATTGACCAATGAACTAAGTAAACTAAACATTGACCAATGAACCAAGTAAACTAAACATTGACCAATGAACCAAGAAAATGAGGTCAAGGTCAGATGAACCATGCTAGGCAGGCATGTACAGCTAACAATTCTTCCATACAACAAATATAGTTGACCTATTGCTTATAGTTTAAGAAAAACAGACCAAAACACAAAAACTTAAAACTGAACAATGAACCTTGAAAATGAGGTCAAGGTAAAAAAAAAACCTGCGTGACTGACATATAGATCATAAAATATTTCCATACACCAAATATAGTTGAACTATTGCATATAGTATTAGAAAAAAAGACCAAAACTCAAAAACTTAACTTTGACCACTGAAACGTGAAAATGAGGTCAAGGTCAGATGACACCTGCCAGCTAGACATGTACACCTTACAATCATTCCATACACCAAATATAGTAGACCTATTGCATACAGTATAAGAAAAACAGACCAAAACACAAAAACTTAACTATAACCACTGAACCATGAAAATGAGGTCAAGATCAGATGACACCTTACAGTCCTTCCATACACCGAATATACTAGACCTATTGCTTATAGTATCTGAGATATGGACTTGACCACCAAAACTTAACCTTGTTCACTGATCCATGAAATGAGGTCGAGGTCAAGTGAAAACTGTCTGACGGGCATGAGGACCTTGCAAGGTATGCACATACCAAATATAGTTATCCTATTACTTATAATAAGAGAGAATTTAACATTACAAAAAATCTTAACTTTTTTTTCAAGTAGTCACTGAACCATGAAAATGAGGTCAAGGACATTGGACATGTGACTGACGGAAACTTCGTAACATGAGGCATCCATATACAAAGTATGAAGCATCCAGACCTTCCACCTTCTAAAATATAAAGCTTTTAAGAAGTTAGCTAACGCCGCCACCGGATCACTATCCCTATGTCGAGCTTTCTGCGACAAAAGTCGCATGCTCGACAAAAAGGAGTTCTTAATTAAGTAATAAACTGATTCGCTGAGCGCAGCTGGATACACCCACAGAGGTCCAACCCTGAACAGTTGGGGCAAAAATGGACACAATATTCAAGCTTGATACAGGTCTGAATTTGGATTGTAATTAAATATTTGACATATTATAGTTTCTGAATAAATGTAGTCAAAGAACTTGAAATCGGTTATATGAATTGAATTTATATTCAATTAAAGATTTCTTGCTGTTGTGCAATACACTGTGCTGTTGCGCAATACTTAATAAATCTGTTGCCAGACTATAAACAAATAAAGTTCAATTTCTTCTCAATGTCATATTTGAAATTTATGAAAATCAATAGGGAGATTACATCAATAGCTATAAATAATTCACCAAAGTTTCATGCGAACTGCTTAAAGCATTTTTGAGTTGTTGTCCAAAAACTGAAAAATCCCCCCTTTTTTAATGAATAAAACCCGATAACTCAGAAATGTAAAATCTAAAATTTATAAAATTCTAAAGGGAGCTTACGGGTTGATAATTTAGTCTTAGATGCAAGATTTTTTTATCAGTTGTTTGTGGCTTTGAACTAGCTGTCAGTAAATGCGAGTACTCTCAGATCTGTACTTAGTGTCTTTTTGTTGTTTGGATGTACAACTACCCGGCCACGTCCACTTGTATTTGTATTTATCCATCTGATGAGTTAAGCCTCTTTCAACTGATTTTTATAGTTCGCTCTTATATTGTACTGTAACCCCACTGTCCCAGGTTAGGGGGTGGGTTGGGATCCCGCGAACATGTTTAACCCCGCCACATTCTGTATGTACATGTATGTGCCTGTCCCAAGTCAGGAGCCTGTAATTCAGTGGTTGTCGTTTGTTTATGTGTTGCATATTTGTTATTCGTTCATTTTTTGTACATAAATTAGGCCGTTAGTTTTCTTGTTTGAATTGTTTTACATTGTCATTTCGGGGCCTTTTATAGCTCACTGTGCGGTATGTGCTTTGCTCATTGTTGAAGGCCGTACTGTGACCTATAGCTGTTAATTTCTGTGTCATTTGGTCTCTTGTGGAGAGTTGTCTCATTGGCAATCATACCACATCTTCTTTTTTATATTTACATCAACAGATATAAACAATTCACCAAAGTCAAGGTGAGACAACAAAACTTAGTTGTAAGATCTCTGAAATTTTTAACACGGTACAAGTTTTTCTAATTGTTGGAGATTGTATGGTGACAGTAACACCTGTAACTGCTTAACCCATTTCTTATGCACTTTGGTTCGATAAACTCACTGAATATCATACCACATCTCCTTATTTTTATATGCATTACAATTTACATGTGCATGTAATTGTAAATAATATTTATATATATATATCAGAACAAACTTCATTGCGTCACTTTTATTTATGCATTCTTTGGCACAATACAAGTTCTAAAATTACACAACATAAAACAACTAAATGTTATTTCAGATGAAAGTTTTGTTTCAGTTCCATTCATAGGATTTATTAGAATTTTGTATGTTTTGCCAAGTCCAATAATTAGCTCTATGTGCACGTGTTAATTGGAGACTTTTCTATCCCGTATAAGAGTTTTGGAACTAATTCTGTTTCTTTTTTTGAAAAAAGTGAGCAAACAAATCTTGCACATTTAAACCTTTGTCTGCCATCACACTGTCACCTGGATCACATAATTGAACTATTCTACATCTTTCAACTATTTCACAGTCACTGGTACAACCAACATATGCATAAGAGACATAGTTGACTAAACCACCAGGTGTCGAACATACAAGTATTTTCAGTGTTTCTGTTTTTATATGATGAAAAGGTTGCCTGAGCTCTAGGAGCTTTAGGTTTTATCACGGGATATTCTGTGCTGTCAATAATAATCCAAGTTGTAGGAAACTTTAATTTCAAGTTGGATGGCAAAAAATACCTGACTAAACCACTAAATGGCCAAGTGTTAGCCTCACGCCACTGTTTAGACATAAAAATAATCCATGTTTACACAATATTCTTAACACTAGTTTCAATCTAGAATCTAGACAGTTCAAAGTTGGTTGTATAATGCATCAATTTCATCAAAGTCATAAAAAAACTGATTTTCAAATGACACCCTATCAATTTGAAAATATATGCATCTCAAACAATGTGCTGTTGGACCAAGTGTGGTCAAAACAAATAAAAATTTAGTATACAACTCTACACCGGTATAAAAATGCATGGCTGTGTCACGTGTCTTCATTTCAAAATTCTCTGCTGAAAATATAGGCATTGATGGTGTTTGCGTAATTCCATCTGTGAAGCTCAACATTAGCTCGGCAGTTGGTGGTGGACAGTCATAAATCCTGTCTGCAGTATGAATTACTTCTTCAGGAAAACCAACTTTACAATCAAAACTTTCCTCTAGATTTCTACTACAATATTCATCAAGTTTAGTTCTTTTGTTTTCACAGGAAACTGCCCTGATTTTTCTTTTTGCGGACGATTCAGTCTCTTGCTTGGTCCAGGAAAATAGGCTGGGATTGGCAGTAGACTTAAGTCTCTGTATGGTGGGTTTGTGCCCTGAAAAAGGTTATAAAACATAAGTTTTTTGATAATTAAATGAACTTCCATTAGCAATGCATACTTTGTACGGAAGCAAGTTAACTTGTACCATTGTAAACTCGTACCACGTAAACTCGTACCACTGGGAAGTCGTACCAATCAGAACTCGTACCACTGCAAACTCATACCATTAAAAATATATTCAAAAATACGAATGTTTTATGATTTTTTTTTTGGTAAACTAAATAAAAAAAGTTGAATTACTTGAATTTTATACTAGATTTAAATGAAAACTTAGACAAAAATACGAATGTTTTATGATTATTTTTTTTTTAAGCTTTATACAATAAATTAAAATATCTTTGAAATTTATACCAGATTTTAATGAAAACTTAAGACAAAAATACGAATGTAATTTCTTAATTACCATGCTAATAAATATATTAAATTCCTTTGATTGTGTGATTATTAACTAATCAACTTGTATAATCATATAAGCATGGTCATATTCTGCTGAAATGTGCTGAATATTGTATAAAAATAAATTTCATACTTTCTAACTGTTGGTCATAAACAATTTTAAACCTTTAAAACACAATCAATAAATTCTTTCATTAAATAAAATTCCTTTTAGAAACAATAGAAAAATACCCAAATCTATTCAATGTTACTGATTTGGAATGATTAAAAATTAAATCAAATAGTTGTCAGTAAAAGTTTAAAAAAGAGTCTATTCAAGGGAGACAACAAAGCCAATCTGCCACGGTTTTCTCTATCCAATATTAGACAAGGAAAATTAGCTACAAATTGGTTATTGTAATTTCAAATTATATACATTTTACAGACTTAAGAGGTATTGAGTGAAATTAAAGTATATATTCATCATTAAACACCATTTGAATGCATTTAAATAAGTTAGTACGAGTTTACAATGGTATGAATTTACCGTGGTACGAGTTAGCAGTGGTACGAGTTTGCATTGGTACGAGTTTTTGTTTAGTGGTACGAGTTGACATTGGTACGAGTTTACAATGGTACGAGATAACTATAATTCCTTTGTACTACCTGGCAAAATATTAACTAGATTTATTCATTACAATCTGGATAAAACTATGTTAGCCTGATTCAATGTACATCAAAATGTATGTTATGTAAATCCAAAGGACAAACAATGAGAGACGTATGCAACAAACATACATTGTTTGTACCTAAATAACTATAATATAGATGAGAGCATGTCATTGTTTTGTTCCTGTTAACATTGTCATTGATATTTTTCAAGAAAGTCTATGAGGCATAGCTTATGCATTCCTGTCATTACTACATTAGCATAATTACTGCTAAAATAATTCTCAGTATGATATACCTCTTGTAAGAAATCATTATAATTGTAGCAAGCACCAAAAATCTCAAACAGATCACATTGAATCGTAATCCAAAAAATTATGACGTCTTGAATTAACCACCCCCTTTTATTCTGCGGTTGTAAACAGACTTTGGTTTATTCGCATGGCGATTACATATATAACTATATATTTTAAAAAGAAAATAGAGTTTTACCATGAATAGTTTCCTGCACGTAGTCTTTTTCAGTAAAATGTGCCTTGCAAACAACAGCTGATTGAGATGGACTCCACGATTTCATCGTGTTCTCGTCCAATCTGCGTATGGGCCATGGCGTTGATCCAACTTTTCCTTCTTTTAAAGTCATTTGGAAATGCATGTCCTCCTCTTAAATGACATCCAGGTACACAACAACAAGTACTTGGCATCGTTAATTAAAAATGCAACTGTAATAGTTACACAGTGCAGAAACCGGAAGTTGAAGTACAGGATCGGCTACCACGGCGCCACCTATTCAGGAACGATAATTTGCTACTTTATATAACTGCGAAATAACAATAATGTTAGACGGGTTCGCGTGCATAAACAGAAATGCGCTTTAAATTGTATAATATAATTCATGTTCAGTCGACCTTTAATTATTATATCAACGACTGAAATGATTTATAAACATCTAGATTGCAGATAACACTCGAAATTAACCCGACCTCTTTCCACATGGAATTCAAATAATTCTAGTTTGTCAATCGGTTGACTGCTTATAATGTAAAATACAAATATATCAAAAGTTTTTAAAACTAACAAAACACAATGATCGTTTCTCTATTTCCCAATGTAAATGAAATGAGACAAAAAACATTTTATACCACAATAAGAAGAGGAGAGAATCAACATTTTCCGGATCTACTTGGAGCCTAATGACCCCCCACGTAGATAAGTTGGATATCGCGGAAAGAAATATTAACACGGCAACTAGAAAGGCATTAAAGCACTGCCTTTAAAAAATGTAATCAATTACAATCGATTACAATTACAGATTACGATTACCCCACCCCTGAGCTGAATATCACATTAACAATGAAATTTGGGAAATTAGTATAACCCTATTCCACCCTTCAATCAAGGACAATGTTTGAACAGGGGAATGTTTCCTAAAAACAATCATTTGCCAGTTATGATTGACATTAATTTGCATAAACTTGAACAGCAGTTTAACATATTCTTTCAATCTTTTTTTCAAGTCAACAAAATAACCTTTATGGACTATTTTTATGTGCAGATGATGAACATTTTACAGCCAGTAAAGTCTATATTCAAGGCAACAGAATTCAGAATACACCAGAATGGGAATTCGATGATGGAACCCTCATATCATACATGCCATGGAATCCGAACCAACCAGAAGCGTATGATCAAATGTACTTATGTTTCAATGCTCAAAATCAGGGCATGTGGCATGATTGCATTGGGACACAATTATTTAGATTTGTTTGTGAAATATATTTGTTCTAGTTTGAATCTTAAAGGAGTTATCATTGTTACTGACGTTTCAATAACACTTTCCGCAAAGTTAGTATTTAATCAAATATTTTTTTTGTTAACAAAATAATACTATCAATCAACTTTATTTAACAATTTGTAATATATAGAACTGATAATAAAAACATTTTCAATATACATGTATTACCAATAGATCATACCAAGTAAACACGTTGCAATAGAAGCCATAGAAATAAAACAGTGAATTGTTAGTTGGAATTATGATTATTAAAATTCAACAAATAAATAAAGGCGATAAGGTATGATTGCCAATGCGACAACTTTCAACCAGGGGCCCAATGACGTTATTGTAAGCAACTATAGGTCGTCGTACGACCTTCAATAATGTGCAACATAAATGTCATATATTAAGCTACGAAAGGCAACAACATTACAAAATGTGAAACAATTCAAACTAGAAAATCAACGGCTTGCTTCATGATTAAACAATACAAATAAAACAAATATGATACACAGCAATAAAGGACAATCACTGAATTACCAGCCTCTGACCTGGGACAGCACATAAAGAATGCTGCGGGTTAAAAATGTTAGTGAGCGCCGCGTTATCCTCAAACTGTTTTTGATGAATTATTTGTCATAAACTGATAAACCACTAACAAACTTAAAAAAGAATATACTTGATAGGATCAACCATGTGTGTTTGTTGAATTGTTTGGCCACAGAAAACTGTTCTAGATAGGACTATGTAATATTCATTGTATATAGATATAAGAAGATGTGGTATGAGTGCCAATGAGACAACTCTCCATCCAAGTAAAAATTTATAAAAGTAAACCATTATAGGTCACAGTACGGTCTTCAACACGGAGCCTTGGCTCACACCGAACAGTAAGCTATAAAGGGCCCCAAAAATTACTAGTGTAAAACCATTCAAACGGGAAAACCAACGGTCTAATCTATATAAAAAAACGAGAAACGAGAAACACTTATGAATCACATCAACAAACGACAACTACTGAACATCAGATTCCTGACTTAGTACAGGTGCAAACAAATGCAGCGGGTTTAAACGTTTTAATGGTACCAAACCTTCACCCTTTTTCTGAAACAATAGTGGAACATCACAACATAGAAAGACACACTGTTTTATCTTTTTATCATTAATACATTCATTTTCCCGTTTGAATAGTTTTACACTAGAAATTTTTCGAGCCCTTTATAGCTTGCTGTTCGGTGTGAGCCAAGGCTCCGTGTTTGACCTATAATGGTTTACTTTTATAAATTTTGATTTGGATGGAGAGTTGTCTCATTGGCACTCATACCACATCTTCTTATATCTATTTGCATATTCAAGTGATTTAGCTCTATGTTAAGATAACAACACCCTTTTGTCTAAGTAAACAGATAGATATGTTTAACCATTCAAATCACCAAGAGTATAATTAGGTTCATTCTTCCAGTGATACGATACTTTTGAGAAATCAAAACAAGTCAATAAAAATTAATCAATAAAAAGGTAAAATTTAAGTAGCTCTAGTGAAAAATTGATGTGTTACACATGCATGGATATGATTTGGGACAATAGACAATGTAGAAACTGCCATTAGTTTAAATTCAAACAACACAAAAACGGTTTGTAGAATTCTAAAAAGGAAATCGATAATTCATCTATTCAATTAAAATGTCATCTGATGATTACTAAAGTATATATTGTTGATCAAATAAAATGATGAAAAACAAAGAAGTACTAAACAAATGAATTACTTATGCCTTGAAAAGATAAGAGGATTTTGCCGTTATTTGCCTTTAATTGAATAATTCAGAAAATGTGAAATATGGTAAAACATTACAGACTATTGGGTCAACAAAAACGTTAGTCTTTGAAAAAGATATAAAATAGAATAACTGTGTATGAGTAAGTTATTATCCAACAAGGAAAAATATCACCATTTGTTGACATTTTATAAAACTTATATGAACACGTGTAAATCAACTGAGATTTCCCCTGATAAAATGCAGCCAATTTTTTCCTTTTCATTAAACCTTGTAAAGAAGGAGAATTTCCATAAGGGACAATCAAAATTCAGAAGTGGAAGAGAACTTGACAACACCATGACAAAAACACCAAAAAACTACACAAAAAAGTGTCTACAAAATACTACATTGAAAAGAAAACAGTTAGCAACACAGACCCCCTCAGGTGAAACAGAAGGGTAGCAATTTCTGCTCCATATGTAGGTATTCAATATTTATCAAACCCTAGTGAGTATTTATGTGCTAATTCTAAATTATGACTCTCTTTAGTTGGTCTTGTTTTCCCCCTCCAAATAACAGATAAGTGTTCATGACAGATCTTTTGAAGTCTTTTTTTTAATTTGTTCACAATTTATTTAGACTCCACACAGAACTTACAAATATGGTATGAACACTTTCAAGACTATATAATCTCAAATATTAAGTTCGAGATATACAGATGAGAAACAACTCATTAACTGCAAAACCGGCAATCAAAATCTTAACTTTTATTGTTGTAAAAGAGAAGGAAAACTCATTTAAAAAAGACTGTTAATCTTTAATTCAATATACAAAATTTTTGGTGTGTGTACAAATTTCGGCAGATTTCGGCACTGTTTGGACACAATTAAAATTTATGATTGCATCACTGGTCAGCTCTTAGGTGGTGAGTGATTACATAAAATTGTTGGCAGAAGTCATAGATTATCTCAAAGATTCAAAATTCTTCATTTCTCAGACACCATATAGTTACAATGATACAAAGAAGTCCTTCAATAGTTATAACGTAACATAAACACACATGACAAGATGAGATGAAAATAAATAAAATAAAATAATCAGTAGGGACGACGAGTTGTGATTAACCAGGAAGACTCACTTGAAAAGTTATAACTCTGATAAATTTGCACTGCTTTTTTAATTTATTTTTGTATTTTACCTGAAATAGTTTTCCAAACGTCAGTATATTAATTCTGTGCAAGAAAAAAGTATCCAAAAATTGTGCTCGAAAATTTGCAAAAGAACTACATTGCAAAATGTAATGAAATTCATCACCAATCTCATTACATTGACATAAATTACAATATCTATAGTTACGTTCAATTTATTCCATCTACTAGTTTCTATGAGTAACTTGTTGTTTCCCGTTCTGAATCTACAATATGTTATTCTATCTTTATCACTTAAAATATTAAGATATTCTTCATATTCAAAAATTTTGTTTAAACAATTTGTAAGCTAAACCTTTTGATCAACAGTCAATATCTGCTCTCCATTTCTGTCTAAACTGATCAAATAACTTTTGTTTTAAACTAATACCCAACAATTTAGAATTAAAATTTCCTCGTGACAACCATATATTGCTATATCCACATCTATCTAATGTATCTTTAACATATTTCAACCAATCTGACCTTAATGGGTTTTCAAAATTTTTCAAGAACATGTATCTATATATTATTTAAGCAATCCTGTTATCATCCCCACTTTGACCAAAAATTAACCATACACAGCTGTATATATAAAGATATGGGATAAATACCACGTTCACCATAAATCATAAAATTAGGTGTCGACTTCTTAAGATTTAATAAAAATTTATAAAATTTCAAATGCACTCTTTCTATAATATCAGTATTACTGAAACCCCAAATCTCACATCCATTTAGGATTGGCTTCACAATTTTATCAAAGAGATCATATTGAGATTACACTGATAAGTTGTGCAACCTCCCCTTTTTCAATACTTCGTACATATACAATATATGTACATTGTCGGAAAAATTTATCTGTGTACCTGTTATTTGTACAATAGTTAGCTGATTGCAGGATAAATTGCTTTATTTGCTTTTCCAACTAAAATTTTCTTAGCAATCATAAAGCTACCTATTCTTGAAAAATTCAACCCAAGGTAAGTCAATTTGTTAACTATCTCCAATGCATTACCATCATATATAAAATGATTATTATTGGGTAATCTTCACCAGAATCACATCCATATCAATTAAAATAGATTAAATCCAATCAGCATCAGGTAAACCTCATCAGGTAAATAGAACATGTGCTGTCATGTGATATGCCTAACTGAGGTCTAAGGTTGTTACTGAGCAATAAATCTGAAACTGTGACACACAGTATTGCATGCTGATATGCAGCCTGATAACAAATTTTAGGAGCTCTGATTTGTACTGCCCTGTAAATATGTGACGAAAATTTCATACATGGCCATTGTGTTAAGAATATATAAGTATTCTGTAAACAGAAAGTTGATAAGCAATAAATCTGAAACCATGTCACATGAAGCCTGATAACAAATTTCAGAAAGCTCTGAATTGTAGTTTGTTAGAAAATTTTGAAAAATTCTCTTTTTAATATATATGTACAAGTATTTGTGAAACAGGAAGTTAACAAGTAAAGAATGCTTTGTCCTTCCTGAGAAAATTGCAAAGGAAATTTCATGGAATAAACGGACAGAGGGACAGACTTAAAAAAAAGGGTAAAACAGTATACCCCTTTTTCTTTAGAGGGGGAATATAAATAAATAAGAGATATTAAGTATGCCAAGTCGGGTGAAGATTAACCATGTGGATAAGTCCTAGAATATGACACGGTTTTAACCTTCAACCTCTGCTTGACTTTTGATCTCCTCCAGGTGATTATGTCAACAAAATATGATGAGAAATTAACGATATGTCCCTCCACACACACATAAACACAGAGAGATGCACTGTTCCATAACTGTATCCCCTGATGCAACTTTCTTTTGAGCAGATATTCTATCTGAAATTGTTAATTATGAAAGCTGTGTACAATTGATCCCTGTCTTCATTATGTCACATGATTTACTGTACTGAAAACATGTCACATGATTTACTGTACTGAATACATGTCACATGATTTACTGTACTGAATACATGTTGTCTGTTCAAGCAGATCTTTGCTTTCTGTCAGTGCTTCTAGCTATTCTGGGTTCATTTCTAAAAACAAACAAAAAGATAAATCATATATCAGATATATATCATTCTATATTCATAAATTTGTTAAACAATGGACAACATGCAAAACTAATTATTGTTTTTCTGGGAAATGCTGCATACAAATAATTCAGTCTTTAGTTTTCTATGTTGTGTTTTGTGTACCATTGGTTGTCTGTTGGTCTTTTTCTTTTTTAGCCATGACGTTGTCAGTTTATTTTCGACTTATCGAGTTTGAATTTCCCTCTGGTATCATTCGCTTATTTTTATCAAATTTTAAAATGCAAGTTTTTACATATGTGAAACCTATTCTTTCGTAATATTTGCATTAAAAAACTCTGAAAAATTTCTGAATGTACTGTTATTAAATCACCATACTTTTCAAACTGGCGAGCTTTGTTTATGTCAACAGTATGCACTGTTGTCCACTAGTCTGATGCCCCAGACTAGTAAAATTTTTTTCAGACTAGTTTGTATTTTTTTAGATACCGGTACATAAATAAAATGTGTAAACATTGGTCTAAGGCTTTTTTACATGCATGTATATCCAATAATACATTCACTGCTAAATCGTCATGTTCCATACTGAACGTTCATGTAGCATTCATAATAATATATGAAGTCTATGATTTTTTTCTTCTTCCAGACTTTGGAATACATAGGGAACAAAGTCTTTTTTCCAGTGACATGCATGCCATACAATCATTCCATACACCAAATATAGTTAAGGATATTTGCTGCTTTTGTTTTTTTTTTTGACTTTTTTGTCAGTTATTGGGAATCCTCTACTTTTATCCATGTAATGCCATTTAAAATCATGCCTGCCAACTCCTACTTTTCTTTTCATAATTTTAATTCAAATAATTTAAAAAGCAATTTTTCAAATCTTATAAAATCTGTGTAATTTTTTCATAGTTTTTGAAAAAAGGTGCCAATGTTAAATGTATGAAAAATCTTTAAAATTTTCAATGGCTTATATCTCAAAATCAATGACACTGAACTTTCATTTTCTGTGTCGAGGTAATCAATCAGTTACATAAAAAACTTGATGGTGATAAAGGCGCTGCCTTTTAAAAAGGTGCTTGTTTAAGAGTTTAATGACTATATATCTTCTTAAAGGAGCAGTATGCTTTGTAGCAATATACAATTATTGACTGGTTTTGAGGCCACTTTAATTTCCTGTGTATAATTTGGAGCTAGTATGACGTCCATTATCACTGAACTAGTATACTTATTTGTTTAGGGGCCAGCTGAAGGACGCCTCCGGGTGCGGGAGTTTCTCGCTGCATTGAAGACCCATTGGTGGCCTTCGGCTGTTGTCTGCTCTATGGTCGGGTTGTTGTCTCTTTGACACATTCCCCATTTCCATTCTCAATTTTACTTTGTTTGACCTGATTACCAATACGTTACCCTAGGCTGAACTGGCCTTGACAACAAGTAGGTTTGAGGGAAAAACAAAATTGCCATTGCTGTAGCGCCTAGTCAAGTATTGTTATTATGCTGCCACAATAAAACCACAATATTAACGACACACCTCTGTGGTCAATAGTCCGGTTCATTCCTCCTATTCCCACTTTTTATAAATCTGGTAAGAAAAGTTAAAATTTCATGTGGGAATAGGGGGAAACTTGTGCAAACAAAGGATTATACTGTATAAACATTGTTTGATCAACTTTTAATTGACAAGTGTTTTTTTGGATAGGTAATATGTTATTTTTGTATGTGTCGAATGAATTCTTTCAAAATCAAAATCAAAATCAAGTGCAGATAATTAAACTGAATTAGATAGGAAAATTTGTGTTTTTTGGATTTTTTCTAGAAAATAAGGCCTGTGACCCCCTATTTTTATGTGGTAGTTCGAATGCATTTTTGAAAAGCAATTCTCTCATTGAATGTTAACCAATTCTATTGATTAATGTTTCCTAAATAAGGAAAAATTAAAGGGAAAGTCCGCGATTTTTTACTTATCATCCAAATATGTTCATCTTAACATAAAAAACACATTCACAAAGTTTCAAATTTATTTTCTTTCTAATAACGGAGAAAATCAAGTATTTGTAACTTTTTTGGTTGACCTACGTCACTGGGTTGTGACGTTTTAACCCGATTTGTTGAATCATGGGAAAAAATAAAATCTGTTAAAGTCTTAATTGCTTATCAGAATTTTACGTAATTAAAAGCGCACAGATGACCGTTGGTCGTAGTTAATAACCACAATATAAGAATGAAAGAAAATGAATATGTGTGTACCGTTTTGTATTGATTGAATAAAACTTCCTATATGAAGTTATCTAAATATAAATATTTTCGAATTAATTTCATAAATTATTGTTGAGATTTTTTCATAAAATATCTGTTGAACACTTTGACTGATATTAAACTGAAAATATTTTACGTTTTATTTACCGTTATAACTTTGGTAACCATTTCAAGGCAAACTATTTGTGAACAGAGTGTGTATATTATTTTGTCATTGTTTATTTATCGATTTGAGGAGAATTCGTTTGAACTTTACCTTGCAGCAATTTAGCCTCAGGCGTACACAGGTGTGAATTCAAGCGTACACAGGTGTGATTGTTGTCATTTTGAATGGATTGACAGAAAGAGTATAGCGTGTTTAATACACCAAGCTGAAATACCCGATGACAATAGAGAAACAATAATTAAAATGTATAAATTAATTGAAAATAAACATTCAATTTTTTTAATTCCAGAAGTGTATTTTGAAATTTTTTAGCATAAAATTAAAATATGAAGTTTTTATTGAAAAAATACAAAAGTACAACATGCATGATTTTGTATCTTCTTTTTAAAATTTCATTCCTACATAATAAATTCAACTAACAATCTCTTAGAATAATTATTTGTGGAAAGAATGCCAATTATCATTTATTTCATTCATTATAAATCTAAGCTATTAAAATAATTGTTTATTCCGTCTGGAAATTTTTATTTTCTTTTTTTCTTTCTTTTGATCTGTTTTTTGTATGAGGTTTTCTAATTGTCTTTAACGGTTTGAACATACGAAAATTAAATATAATCATTGTTATATTATACTATAATTTAGTGTAATACTCTACAGGGTAGCCGTCATTAATCCAAAATAGTAATTGTAGTAATTAATGGCATAGCTTAGTAATGTATTGCTGACAATGACGATTTTAGAACAGTTCGTCTCCTTGAAACAAGCTGTACTAGTATACTTTTCCTGAGGTATAAGCGCCGTTGAAGACGAGCTCCAGATGTTCTTTCTAAAGGACAAAGCAGACTAATAGCGTATCGTTCGTTTGTTTGTTGGGTCAGGGGAGGCCAACTTCTTGCCCAGAAAAACAGAATCACCATACAAGCATAGTTGTCAACACTTTCGGAAAAGAGTTCCTATCGTCGGATGGAGTACACGAATGCTTCCAAGAATGAATAAGTGACATGTCTGATTCTGAACAGTCAGTAAACGAACTGAAAAATGATCTACAGACATCGACCTCTTATTCTTGATATCATAAACTGCATGCCTGTACGTTTATTAGAGCGATTATTTATCTTGTACCTGACGAAAAAACTTAATGCCTGCATGGTTATATATCTTGCTATACGTTTTTATTGGTTTGGTGTGTGTTCACTCAAAATCGTAATTCAAAGATAATGTTTGTGAGATGTAATTTCACTTCTCAATACCGAATTTCGTCTATATATTTCACAAGTGTATACCACTGAGAAGCTCTGATTGTATATAATTCCTTTTTTTTTGTTTGGACCATCGTTGTTAACAGCAATATTTGATGAAGCAGATGATGATAGTAGAAAGCAATATGAGCGTATTATTTATCTTGTGTCTGACGAAAACTAAATGCCTGCATGGTTATATCTTGCCATTTTGTATTGGTATGGTGGGTGTTCACTCAAAATCGTAATTCAAAAATTGTGTTTGTGAGATGTAGATTCACTTCAATAACGAATTTCGTCTATATATTTGTGACAAGTGTATACCACGGAGAAGCTCTAAATGTATATTACTCCCATTTGGTTTGGGTGTGAACCATCGATGTTTACAGCAATATTTAATGAATAAGATGATGATAGTAGAAAGAAATATGAGCGCCATGTGGCAAATATTACATAAATGTCGGACTATGAGTTATCTATCTCTATGAAAAGATTTCCAATACAACCATATTGAGTAGGATTTTTACATGCTATACTCGAGTCGTACTAGTATACAGGCTTCTCATGTCGCCGTTTGACTCAGACACACATCTTTTACTTTAAGGTGTATGAAAGATTCTATATATATATTAAATGTAACAATAATGAAACGCCTACAGGCAATAACTAAACGGGTATGAAGTTACACAGTGACACTACGATATAACAAATGGGATACTTAATTATTTTTAACCATGCTATGCAGAAACTTAACACATCAAGTTAGCGCACGTGAATACCAATTTGGAACACGATGTGTGATTTTGTATAAAAATATCAAAGCGAGCAGTAACTTTGTCTAGCAAACATTTTTTTACTATGCCTCTCTTTGTCTCTTTTCCTTAACAATTACTATTACCCTTTTTTTCGATCATTCTCTATGTAGTATAATTTTCTCTAATCGGTTTTTTTTTTTCACTATGCCACTCTATCTCCGTTCCTTTACAGTGACTGATTCACCTGTCGTTCTAATCCTTATAAAGATAGGTACATTAGACATAGAAGGAGCTCTCTTATCATCAATAAATAAATATTTGATACTGACTATAAGTGCTGCATTACTTTATACTGCATGTTTGCCAATCGTCAAAAGCTTGTATTTGCGTAAAGAATTTTTTTTTCAAAAGAAGGGTCCAGAATCATGACAAAACAGTAAATGTATTTCACAAATTATTTTAAAGATCATTTTTATAAAATTTTTTAACTTATTATCAGCTAAAATAGTGGATAATATTATTATCAGAACATCATTCATTAACAGGTGGAATTGTAATTTCAAACATGCACAAGATAAATAACGTCGAACACAAATATATGTGGTTCAATAAATGTTACCTGTGCACGTCGGGTACCTCAATTAAGAAGCCATGCATGAACTTGTATAATATATTGTGTAATAGGAATTTTTAGTCGACAGGATGTCACTGGAATAACCAAGGACGTGTATCTAATATACGTCCTTGGGATAACTAACTGAATGTGTCGCTCTGACACGACATCTATCAATAATTCTGACATACTTATTATCAATTTGGGAGGAAGCCAATATATATATATATATATATAATAAGATAACGTAAATAAAATTTAAAAAGAAAAAAACATTTACATTTTTTTCGAAACATTCCAGATAGGGTCACACATTTAACTGTAAAGTGTCTTTATAAGTGACTGTTCCGAATTGATCCCGTATCAATTTGATATAGTTAAAAGATTAGCTAAAAAACTTTTTTGATAAAAAATTGAGATGTCCAATATTTCGATATTTACATTTCTATAACCTGGGAATATTATACTATATCAACACATTTTGTCTTAGCTAAAACCTCTTCCTAACATTGCTCCCCGTCAATATCCGTTAAATATCATAATTTAAAAATGTTATTTATCGTATAACTTTATTAATTTGAAAAATTATCTTGACTAAATACGGAACTATTCTTTATATAAACCAATGCACTTTATATAAAAGAGGCATACTAATGGATCTTTTGTAAATCAGTGATTGTTACAAGAACACTGCATTTGTCTTTCTTTTAATTGAAACTTTTCTTCCTCATCAAATCTATATATTTTAATCAACGAGATCTTATCATATAAGGATTTGATAACTATAGCTATCAGAACTGCTAGGTTATTTTGTTATTAAAAAAAGTATAATTACCATCAAATCTCCCTCGAAACAAGATTGTTCAAAATGGTCTTCACACATCAACTTGTGCTTGCTATAGATCATAACTATTTTCTTTTTTTGTGGGTTTGGGAAAACTATTTGAGAATGGAAATGGGGAATATGTCAAAGAGACAACAACCTGACCAAAGAGCAGACAACAGCCGAAGGCCACCAATGGGTATTCAATGCAATGAGAAAATCCCGCACCCGGAGGTGGTCCTCAGCTGGCCCCTAAATTAAATTGTGTGCTAGTTCAGTGAAAATGGACGTCACACTAAACTCCAAAACATATAAATGAACTAAAATTAAAAATCATACAAGACTAACAAAGGCCAGAGGCTCCTGACTTGGGAAAGGCACATAAATGCGGCGGGGTTAAATATGTTTTGTGAGATCTCTTGTTTTGGAAGTCTTTTACAGAAGTTTAACAAAAATCTATTGTCGAACAATTAGACACCCCAGGTACCTTAATCACTAAACTACATTATTGATTGATGGTTGCCTTATGTCCAGAGGCAATTATTACATGCATATTCAGGACAAGAACATTATGATGCAATACGAATATGATACCAATTTAAAAGTCTTTGTTTTGATCTTACAAACAATAGTACCCACCATCTCCTGCGTCAAACTTGAAAAAAAAAAGATATTTAAAAATTGAAACTTGACAAAAATTAAATGTGTTAATTTTATAAAACAATAAATTATTTATTACCTCAAACAGTCTGCATCACCAATTTTTCTATGCCTAACAAAACAGGGATGAGATCCTTTCTTCCTTCCTTTGTTAACAAGTTACATTCTTTACTGTATCTCACATCGGCCCAAACATTTTTTGTTTTGTCCTTTTTCAGAAGATTGGCAAAGTACTCCTTACTGCTTTGTAGTGAAACAAATGTTACCTAAAGACAAAAAGAAATGAATTAATAATCAACTGCTATACCTAAAAAAGCATATTACAGATAAGTCATGATTTGTATCGGAATAATAAACGTAGGATGAGACTAGTTCCTATGAAGTTAGTCATTTAGACTACTACAGTTCTTCTATTTACATATAAAATAATTATATGGTCACCAACTTCCTTTTAGGTATCTTTACCAATCTGTTCCCTAGTTGATAATGAAAAACATAAAAAAAATCAACGTTTAACAGGCTACAAGAGTAAGATGGTAAGCATTTTTCAATGTTTTGAGGTAAATTTTCACCTAAAACACCACTTTGAATGATGTATACTGTAAAAACGAAGTTGGTGACCCTATTATTATTTTACATCATTAAAATGGAAATTTATATATATAATTATGTATCAACAACATATAATTTTTTAAGAAAAATCTATGGTATTGAATCAGGAGATCGGATAAATTTAAGACACATTAAATGCAGAACGCTTTTCGTCAATTTTATGTGCTTTCTATACAATTGTTCACCTATATTGAAACAATTAAATCAGAATATTTTTGAAAATAAAAATGGTAAATGCATCATTTTTTCAATTTTCAGTTAAAGTTCAACAAGCCAAAGTTGTAGGCAAAATTTTACCAAAATCTGTGACATAGCCCATTTACTGTTCCTTGACCTGAACTGTTTTACATTTTTGTTTTACCTGGCCTTTTATAGCTTACTATATGGGATGGGTTTTTGCTCATTACGAGGCTGCATGGTGACCTGTAACTTTTGATAGCTTTGTCCTTTGGTCTATGGGTAGTTCTCTCATTGGCAATCATACCATATCCTCTTATTCTTATATGGGCAAAGTCAAAATAAATGGTCCAAATTTATTTTTTTTTACCAAATTTCAACATTGTTTTAGTGCATTTTCTTTTTTTGTATCTTGATAAATATACATTTAAGTTAATAAATCCAAAAGAATATAAAAAAGTATAAAGAAATAAAAAAGTTCTGAAACTTAAAAGACATAAACCAATAAAACAAATTTAAATCAAGTATACCTTTTTGGAATATTATTTCCGACAAACACTATCAAACATTTATATTATTTTCACCCCTATTGATTGCAGAGATCCAAACATTACTTTTGATGCAAAGATTATTAATCTCCTCTTTGATTATCATTTTTTTTTTTATGTTTTTGGCTATTTTTTGTATCAATTCATTTAAAGTTGATTGAAAAAGTTTTGATTAAAAAATAATTCATCAATTAGTTGATAAAAAAACTTCTCCATATTAAAATTAACCCTTTTTCAAATTCACTGAGGAAAAAAAATTGATAGATAAATCTTTTAATAAAGAAGATATATCAAAAAGAAAATACATCCAATTTCCCCTGTTTTTGTTGCACTCCTGACATATTATACACCAAACAAAAATTGCAGAAACTAGAACAAAATACTCATGATTTTTTTAAATTTGTAATCATTGCTGGTTTATAAAGACCTAAATCTGTCATTTAAATGTTATTTCTATTTTAACTTATGCATCTTATGCACTTCAGATCATATTTAAATTGATTTTTCTGACACATTATTATAAAAATGAGGTTAAGTTACCAAACTATGAACTTAATTCTATTGAATATTCAGTAGAATTGTTGTTTGACAACTTAAAAAGAGATCTGCATTCTTCAAAGTTTTTCTGAACTATCATTATTTTTTTAAATTATTACCTATATAAGGAACTTTATTTCTCCTATTTTGTTGCACTCCTGACATTCAATATATATCATATCAAAACAGTTATACATCATCAAAAAAGCCCATGATTTCTAGATTAAGTGTATATACCTTTCAGATTTAACATTTTAATTTCATTTAAACAATATTTTTGAACTATATCATACATATCACTTATTGTATACATAAGTTCACGTCTCATCACATTTCGCTACTTTTTTTTTTTAAATGGCAGTCTTTGCAATGTTCAAATGGGCTGAATTTTGTGGCTTGATTTGTAGAATAATCCTGCAAAATATCTTTGGAAAATCTCAAGTATTAAAAAAATGACGATAAAAAAAGATGCAAAAATTGTCAGGAGTGCAACACTTTTTTGTGACATTTTAAAAAAATACTTTTTTTATAAAGACACAGCAACTTGTAATATGATGATATGTGCCATAGATTCTTATTTATATTACAACTATTATGTCTTAGTGATGATTTTAGCTACAAATAAAGTTTGTCCATTAAACCGTTTTGATACAGATGTGTTTTGAAAAAAAGTATTGCCCTGTCAGGAGTGCAACACAATAATAAGTAAAGCTGTGGAATAGAATGATTTTTGAATATATTTTATAATCACAGAAAATCACATCTAAACATAAACAAAAGTCAACCCTGTAAAAAAGATATGTCCTTTCCAGAATAAATACTTTATTAACCTGATTATTGATATAAATGTGTGAAAGTCAAGTAAATAAGGCCTCCCTATAAGTGTCAGGAGTGTAACTTTGAAGTTAAAAAACTCACACTTAATAAATACAAAAACCAATATATTGTTCTGTTTTATTTTTCAAAAGATACTATACTAGATACAAGATTGCACCCAAAGAGTAGCCTGATAGACAAGGATTTTTTTTTAGAACCATTTCTTTGATGTCAGGAGTACAACAGTTTTAAAATGTTATTTTCTTGGACTTCATTTTAAGATAATCTCAGCTCCTTATGACTTATTTGCCTTCAAATATGTGTTCTTACTACATGTAATTAGGCTACATGTATGATATATTCTTAAAGGTGAATTTCAACACGGACTTCGATCCAAAAATTATTGTTTGTCACAAGCAATTATATCTGAATGATGATTTTTTATATAATTTTAGAATTTAGGAAGCTAATTGTCATAAACTGTGTCTTTTGATTAGGAAATAACCATATTTCAATTTAAAAGTTTTATAATGGTTTCATGTAATACTAATTAAATTATTATAACTGTAATAAAAAACAATTAATTTTGTTGAACTCCTGACATGAATTTTCCATAACAAGCAGTTTTGCACAGATTCAATATTTTTATTTTATTAAAGTCTCACACATTTGGAGTTCATCTTGCAGATCCAACCTTTGAATGAATGAAAGATGGCAAAGATAGTTGATCAAACTGAACTAACTTGAGAAGAAAATCAGACAGACTAAGGGATCAAAACACACCACCAAAGTCAACATTGACTATAACTTTGATGAGCAGAAAATTGAGAAAAAATCTGAAAGAAGATCCACCTAAAGGACACACTAGACAAATATAAGCAAAGAAAGAACAAAGAACACAAAACAATGTGAAACTTAATTACAAAGACTTAACCTGAATACAAAAACACAGATGGAGAAAATGAAAAAAAACAAAAAAAGAGATTGGCAACAGAAAAGAAGAAGAAAATTGACACAAGCCAAAAAAGTTGCAAACCCACAGAAAAATGTCCAGTCGAGAAGCAAAAGTACAGGTGCAGATACACTATCTAGAGAAATCAGAAAGAGAAGACAAAGTATAGGGAAAATTCTTCCTGACCAACCCAAACCTTGCCCTAAAACAATTGAATAAATCATATCCACAGCTACACCAAGGCAGTTGTAAGAACTACATGTAATCAGTACTGATGGAAGTGTGCTAGAAATTGATGGGTGCCGAAGTGGAAACAAAATTGAGAGACCCTTAATAGATCTGGAAACTTGAAAAGAAACTGGCATTTTCAAAAAGAATAGAGGCTACCTGAAAAAGTTAGAACTAAGGGACTCTTTGAAAATGCCATTTTCTTTTCAACAGTTTTCAGATCTTTTAAGGGTTCCCCAACTTTGTTTATACTTCAACATGTTCAAGACTCATCAATTTCTTGCACACAGCAGATATCAGTTCTCATTTACTCTGACAACCACCTTGGTGTAGCTGTGGATATTGTGTGCTCAACTGTTTAAGCCCAAGATTTGGGATGGTCAGGTAGATAATGTCTTATTCTTTGACTTCTCTTTCTGATTTCTCTAGGTATTGTATATGCATCTGTACTTTTGCTACTTGACTGGACAATTCTCTGCTGGTTTGCAACTTTTTTTAGCTTGTGTCAATTTTCTTCTTCTCTTCTGTTGCCACTTTCTCTGTTTTGTTTTCTTTTTCTCATATGTGTTTTAATTCTGGTCTAAGTCTTTTGAATTTAGTTTTACATTGTTTTGTTTTCTTTGTTCTTTCTTTGTTTATATTTATCTAGTGTGTCCTTCAGATTTGGATCTTATTTCAGTGTTTTTCTCAATTTTCTACTCCTCAAAGTTGAAGTTGTTGTTGACTATGATGGTGTGTTTGTATGCACTTAGCCTGTCTGATTTTATTCTAAAGTTTAGTTTCACAATCATCTTTCCCATCATTCATTCATTCAAAGGTTGGGTCTTAAAGTTGAACTCAAAATGTGCAAAACGGCTTGTTATGGATGATTCATGTCAGAAGTGCAACAAAATTAATTGTTTGTTATAACAATTATAATAAATTTAATTAGTATTACATGAAACCATTATAAAACTTTTAAATTGAAATATGGTTATTTCCTAATCAAAAGACAAAGTTTAAGACAATTAGCTTCCATAATTTGAAAATAATATGAAAATTTAACATTCAAATATATTTGCTTGTGACAAACAATAATTCTTGGATCAAAGTCCTACTTTGAAATTTACCTTTAAGAATTTATTATAACTCATACATGTAACCTAAATAGTTAGAAAACATGTTTAGATGCAAATAAGTCACTAGGAGCTGAGATTATCTTAAAATGTAAGTCCAAGAAAATGTCGTTTTAAAACTGTTGCACTCCTGACATAAAAAAAATTGTTCTAAAAGAAAAATTCCTTGTCTATCAGGCTACTCTTTGGGTGCAATCTTGTATCTAGTATAGTATCTTTTGAAAAATACAACAGAACCATATAATGGCTTTTGTATTTTTTCAGTGTGAGTCTTTAAACTTCAAAGTTGCACTCCTGACACTTACAGGGAGGCCTTGTATACTTGACTCTCACACATTATTTATATCAATTATCAGGTAAATGAACTATTTATTCTGGAAAGGACATATTTGTTTTACAGGATTGACTTTTGTTTATGTTAAGGTGTGGGTCATTTAAGCAAAAATCATTCTATTCCTCAGTAATACTAATTTTTGTGTTGCACTCCTGACATGGCACAACTTTTTTTCAAAACACATCTGTATCAAAACGGTTTAATGGAAAAGCTTCATTCTGAGCTGAAATCATCACTAAGATATAATAGTTGTAATATAAATAAGAATTTAAGGCACATTCCTCCGTACAACAATTTGCTGTGTCTTAATAAAAAAGTATTTTTTCAAAATGTCACAAAAAAGTGTTGCACTCCTGACAATTTTGGCATCTTTTTTTAACGTCATTTTTTAATACTTGAGATTTTCCAAAGATGTTATGCAGGAATATTCTACACATCAAGCCACATCATTTGAAATTAATTTATACAATCAAATGATCAGCATGATTGATAAATATTGCTTTATATGCAAGGAACCATTTATTTTGACTTTGCCCATATGTAAGGCATGTGTAACTGCTTTGGAATTACGACCATTTTCATAAATAGAATAATAATGATCAGAACAAACCTTCGTTCCCTGGATGATAAATCCAAATATTCCATTGAAGTCAAAGACAGATGCTGCAGACTGAGTAACAGCTAACATATCTCCAATATGTTGTCCTTTTAATCTTGTATGTACATTTTCAGCAATACTGTTTGTTTGTCTGCTTCCTAGTCTTATTTTCTTGGCTTCTGGTGATGATTCAGAATCCTGGTCTGGTGAATGACTGCACTCCTTTCTTACCTAAAAGCATTTTCAGACATGTCAATATTTCATCATTAAAACTAAAAGCCATAACTATATACCATATCAAACTAAATATCAAAAGCTGCACTTCTGACAGTGAACAAAATTTTGTGACCTATTTTTTTTATATTGAACCATCCTAATAAAAATTCAGTTAGGGCTATTTGTCATACATTATAACATCAACAATTATTTCAATAGATATTCTTTTTCAAACCCATTTAAAGATCTTTTGCACTTCTGACTGGCGACACCTTTTAAAAATTTTGATACTCCATGCAAAAATTGTGGTGTAATGTGGTCCTTAACCATTCTTAAGAGAGCCATCAAAGATTTAAAACATTTCTTTTTTAAATGCAGGTCTCTATTCACCTTTTTGAAAATGGGGGCTTTTAAATATTTTTTTACGACTTTCAAATCTGTTTGCCCTGTTAATAATTTGCTTCTAAAAATATACAATTTTGTTAACAGAATTATTAAGTTTCTTAATATGTAATTACTTTCTGTTTTTGATAAAACCAAATCCATATCTAAAATCAATTATATTCCATATTTTCAAATTTCCAGGAGCTAAGGGCTTTTAATTATTTTCATATAGATGCATACAGAAAAGTCCAAAGTATATGTTCGATTGTTTCTAACCCTCCACACCCAACACTGCACTTAGCTGTATCTTTCACTTTTAGTTTGAAAAGAAAAAAATAAGAGGGTAATACATACATGTATGTACAGGAATAGATTTCCAATTGTAGTTTGCATTGAGAATTATAGACATTGTGCATATTGTGATATAATTAAAATTGAAAGGAGTTAACAAATATTCATGCAGAATAAACCTAACACCTTGATTTTTTATGAGATCAGAAATCTTGATTATGTTGATAAACCTCACCTCAACAACAGCAACGACTCTTGACACAAGTTTTGATGTAATTGCACCTGTTCCAGCTGTGTAGCTACTCATTACAGCACCTGGTATTGATGTAACAGTATGCTCTCCATGGTGTAATAAATACCTGCAGCCTGGAGTGTTTGTTGTGTCACTAAAAAATACAAGGTGTTAAATGATCATTCTAGTGCAACATTGTTTGTAATGTCTTTTTATGATTTGATAATGTCACCAACTTTCATGGCATCAATTCACAATTGATGGTATGAACATACATGAACGACAAATTTCAAATGTATGATTTGACATTGTTTCCTGTCAGTTTCATTAGAATGGAGATAGCAGTATTATGTTCTATGCATTGCATTAAAACTGTAAGGCTAACATCATGTACATGTACATGTATATGGTATAATATTATCACCAAAAAATTAATCCATTGTACTTACAAAATTTTTAGGTCAAATATCCTTACAAATGCCATGAAAAGATCCTTGAACATTTTCTCTGATGGATTTCCTAAATTGTCCATAACAAACAGCAACTGATCGGAAAAAACTTTCAGTTTTGCAAATATTCTGTAAAGAAAATGAATGCAAGTAAATACTAGTGTACAGTTAATTGAATAATTTGCTAACAATCAAACATAATATATGTGTAACTTCATATAGATGGGATCTAAATCACAATTTAATGGCTAAGGCTATTTATCTTACCTCCTATACATTTCTAGGAATACGATTGGTTAAAAGCGTCTGCATGGAGACCGTGTATATTCCATATTAGGTAAGTAGGGAGGCGGGGCTTATTTTAATACACAATTAGTAGTGGAGTTACAACTTTGGCACTATTTGATTATTTAAATGTATTGAAAGTTCTGTTTAATATTCTTAGAATTGAACACTTAACACTTTAATGTAAAAATAAGAAGATGTGGTATGATTGCAAATGAGACAACTCTAGTCTAAATTCAACAAATAAAGATAGTTGGTAAGATTAATTCGTTTCATAGTGTGCTAGTGACCTAATACGTAATATACGGGGTCAGTAAATTCCAAATGGGGTTAGAATTTAGCTTCGCTCTCACCCCATATGGAATTTACTGACCCCTTATATATCTTATTAGGTCACTAACACACTATGTAACTAATAATATTACATCCCAGCTGACTGCAATATAACATAGTATCCTAACATAACTTCCAACCCAAAAGAATTACATGTACAAAATGTAAAAAAGATTTTTTTTTAAATATCAAAGTACTTTTTTTCAAATATAAAAGATATGGCCAAATAGCATGGACACATTTTTCTAGTTGTAAAATTGAATTTCTAACAAATGGAGTGTTTGTAGGTTTATCAGCACTTATATTTTATTTGATGTTCTATATATCATACAGCTTCATATGGAAAGTATGGATTGGTACACATTATTTCACATTACGGTTAGCCAAATATGTGATCAGTAATTGACAATTACATAATATTGTACTGCACCTAAGTTGAGACCTTTTAAAATAGATGCAATTTTAACCAACATGAAATCTTGATTTAACCTCACCAAGTGACATTACTCGAGCTCCTATACATGTATACAAATAATTGATCAGCCCTTATAAATTTTACAATTAAAAAAAATTCTACAATGAAAATGGGCTTGAGAGCACTTACAGTTTATAATATATCATCAAGGGGCATAACTCCTTTTAAAATTGTTAATCGATACTGATTATTAAACTGTTCTGAGACATTGCTAACATACCATGTTTAATTTACTGTATAAACTTTTGATATACATGATATATATATGTAGGACTCAAATCTATGGTGGGTTCCAGATCTATGGCAAATTCCTAATCTACGGTAAATATGACGTCACAAACGTCAAACAAATCATAAATCTATGGCAGTTTTCTCCAAATCTATGGCAGATTTTTATATTACGTATTTTTCTGTCACAATTAAATAACGTCATGTAACGTCCAAGCCGCTGTTAACAAAGACGGTTTTGTTATATAGAAGGAAAAGAAAAGGCCAGTTTTCAAGGACCCTAATCCATAAATTAAATTATATTTCAGAATTCTAGTTTACTTTGTTGGAAATCCCTGTAAATGAGAAGATGTAATCATCGGATTCGGCCGAAATCAGAATACTATCGAACAAACCCAGTCATTCGTAGCAGCAAAATGGCTGGTGCAGGCAATTTCACACAAATGAATATGTTTTTGGTGTTTTCTTTACTGTTTATGTTTTCTGTTTGTTTCCGCTCCTTGTTTTCTTGTTCTAGTGTTTCTGGTGTTGCCCTCTCCCTTAGTTGCATGAGTTTTACTGTGTATTTTGGTTTGCTTTTTGTTTTTCTTTCATAATTTTTTGTTGTCATATGCTGTTTTCTTGTTATTTTTTTATCCCTATGGTCTCTAATTTTCTTTTACATGTAACATAACCAATAGCATTTTTTCAGCTATAAAACAGTGACTACCTGTACTATTGTTGCAAATAAGCTTTATTGAGATTTGGAAGCTAAAAAAAAAAACTGTCATAGATTTCTAATAACTATTTACATTATTTTAAGCTATATTTAAGTCGAATTACTGTACTGTTGGAGAAATAAGCATTTGTTTAAGAAAGCCACGTGTTTGAGGCAAGTCATTGTTCTTTACAGGACTTTGACTTAAATCATCAGCAGTTAAAAAAAATTTATTCACGCTCAAATAAATTTTAGGTAAAAAGTGAAACTGCGTTTTGGGTTGTCAAGGGACTTGGTTAAATGAAGGGTCAAACAGATACTATGCACAGAGTAGGGAATGCTTATTCTTCCGGGCACATCATTTCACCCCAAAAGTCTGTGTTCATTTCACAAATGGTTATGGATATGCTTCCTAGTCGTACCCCTAATCCGTTTTTCTTATACTGGCGTTAAATTAAAAGCAGTCTTTTCGCTACCTTTGAACATTTTGACTTGTTTAAGGCAACTTTGAAATCATTGGTCAGATATGTACTAACTGGTCCACCGTTTGTAGAAAATATGTTATAGATTTGAAAACTAGAAATCTGCCATAGATTAGGAAACTAAAAAAATGCCATAGATTAGGAAACTAAAAAATTGCCATAGATTAGGATTCTAAATAATCTGCCATTGATTGGGATGGCATGACGTCATATTTACCATAGATTAGGAATCTGCCATAGATCTGGAACCCACCATAGATTTGAGTCCTACATATATATATATAGTTTCATAAAAATTTGGCTAGAATTATGTGAATGAAAATGCTTATTACAATGTACTATCTATTGATGTTCATATTTCTGCACTCAGTCACAACTCTGACTTTTACGTGCCGTTGCATGCATGGCTTATGTACAATTTAAAAGATAAATTTTTCAGTAATATTACAATGTACTTTACATTAATATTTATAAACAGAAAAAAAATAAAATTTTACAGTGATTTATTTTAATTTCATATTTCTTGGTAAAACTATGTACATGTTATGCAGTTTTTAAAATATTTGTGAAATATTGCTCATTCAGGATGCTTGCCTTGATTTTGGTATTCATTATGAGCAATCCATCTTATTTTAGTGCAGCTACACCAGACACCAGAGTTATCAGTTCTCATGCTTTTATGTGTTAGAACAGGTTTTAAGGTTTTTAGGTTTTTAGGTGTGTGTTTTTTAGTGGTCTACCAAGTTCTTAATTGGAAGGTCTAGGATCATGTTTTTGATGTAATGCAAATAAGCCGAGCACATGTCTGCCTGCCATTTTTTTTCATATCTTTGTATCTAATTTGCAGTTGTGGCTTTTTCTTTGATTTTTTATGCAGAAGTTTTGTTTATTCTAAATCCTAGTTTGTCTAAGATACAAGGCAATTTAATTTTGTGCATTATTTATTTTTTGGTGGTATTTTACTTTAGTATTGATTTTTATAAGGTCTTCTTTGAAAGTCAATCATTGAATTGGTGTTACTTTAATCATATTGTTTTGAAATTGTTCTAGAAGTTGTATGACTTCTTTTATGTTTACTTAACATGCTTAACTTCCGTTTATTTTTTATGTTTGGATAAGGTCTACCATTTAAATAGTAATTCTTCACCTTTTGTTGTTTTTTCTACTATTTGATCCAGAAGGTCATGAAGGTGGTAATTGATTATGTCAATAAGAATTTGATGCTGTTTATTATCTGGCTTTTCAGGAATTACTAAAATAAATTTTGCAAGATGCATCCTTGGCAGTCTGTTTGGGTTGAATTCAAATATATTTCGTAGTACATGTGTATAATACCTTTCCTTTATAAAAAAATAAGCTATTTTTCAGAAGGCAGTTGGGATACAACTGACATTTGATGAACTCTCAAAATAAGGGTTTCCTTAATTTTGGACATGCATTACACAAAATATTAAGGGTAAACCATTCATACAGAGAATTTCATAAAATAAAAGTTTGTTATGAATTTGTTCACACAATATTAATTATTATCTAATCATTGGGTTTCATCTGAATTTAGTTTAATAAAGTGAAGTCATTAGTCTTATCAGGGACTTTCTTTACTGTATATTTTTGAAATACTATAGAGTGAGAGACCCATATTCGCCGCAAAAATCGTTCATTTCCACTTACATCCGACCTACATTCGAATATTTGGAAATTTTTATGAAGGTTTCAGAAATTTAACTGTATGAAAACAAGAGTGCACACGCTGAAATGTCTCGCCTTCTTTACTAATCATTTATATTATGTTGATAGTCCCAAATATAAAGCTTTATTACAACTGTCACATAAACTTAACATTAACCAAGTAAACTAAACATTGACCAATGAACCATGAAAATGAGGTCAAGGTCAGATGAACCATGCTAGGCAGGCATGTACAGCTAACAATTCTTCCATACAACAAATATAGTTGACCTATTGTTTATAGTTTAAGAAAAACAGACCAAAACACAAAAACTTAACACTGAGCAATGAACCTTGAAAATGAGGTCAAGGTCAAATAAAACCTGCCTGACTGACATATAGATCATAAAATATTTCCATACACCATTTATAGTTGACCTATTGCATATAGTATTAGAAAAAAAGACCAAAACTCAAAAACTTAACTTTGACCACTGATCCATGAAAATGAGGTCAAGGTCAGATGACACCTGCCAGCTAGACATGTACACCTTACAATCATTCCATACACCAAATATAGTAGACCTATTGCATACAGTATAAGAAAAACAGACCAAAACACAAAAACTTAACACTGAGCAATGAACCTTGAAAATGAGGTCAAGGTCAAATAAAACCTGCGTGACTGACATATAGATCATAAAATATTTCCATACACCAAATATAGTTGAACTATTACATATAGTATTAGAAAAAAAGACCAAAACTCAAAAACTTAACTTTGACCACTGAACCATGAAAATGAGGTCAAGGTCAGATGACACCTGCCAGCTAGACATGTACACCTTACAATCATTCCATACACCATTTATAGTTGACCTATTGCATATAGTATTAGAAAAAAAGACCAAAACTCAAAAACTTAACTTTGACCACTGAACCATGAAAATGAGGTCAAGGTCACATGACACCTACCAGTTGGACATGTACACCTTACAATCATTCCATATACCAAATATAGTAGACCTACTGCTTATAGTATCTGATATATGGACTTGACCACGAAAACTTAACCTGGTTCACTGATCCATGAAATGAGGTCGAGGTCAAATGAAAATTGTCTGACGGGCATGAGGACCTTGCAAGGTACGCACATACTAAATATAGTTATCCTATTACTCATAATAAGAAAGAAATTAACATTACAAAAAATGTTGACTTTTTTTTCAAGTAGTCACTGAACCATGAAAATGAGGTCAAGGACATTGGACATATGACAGACGAAAACTTCGTAACATAAGGCATCTATATACAAAGTATGAAGCATCCAGGTCTTCTAGCTTCTAAAATATAAAGCTTTTAAGAAGTGAGCTAACGCCGCCGCCGCCGCCGGATCACTATCCCTATGTCGAGCTTTCTGCGACAAAAGTCGCAGGCTCGACAAAAATGTTTGATAAAGAAATTATCTTCAAAACATTGATTAATTGTTCTAAAAACGAACGCACACTCAAGAGGAAATCAAGTTGTTTGTGTACCATGGGGGACACATTTTCACCGCAATGTATGATATGACCATCCTCATTATCCTGGTATATTATAAAAACGAATGTTTGCAATTACATGAATTAGCTTGAGAGATCATTCCTATACGATTTTTCTCACAAATATTTACTTTAAGACTGCGCATGATTGCCATATAAATCTTACACAAATCATTTTAAAAATACCTGCGTATTTCTCAATATGTGCGAATAACCTTGGAAATGGGGTAAACAGGAATATCAACATTTGTAACATTACAAACAGCATTTACCATCTATTAAGGCAAGTATTGGGTAAAGGCACACAAATTTTACAGAAAAAAATAGCAAAAGGGCGAAAATGTGTCCAAGGCGAGTATGCGCCACCCACTCTAAACTGATCCTGGTCTAATAATGTGCCATGATACACCGTACTGTACCGTACATGTACATTGTTGTATAACTTACTTCTGACAAGTACTTCTAAGTAATGCTAATTGTTCACCATTGTCTGCTGCCTGTTTCTTCTCTTTTGGCTCTACAAAGTCATGATACAGAGAAGATTTTTCAAATGGTTTGTCTAATGCATTGTTCATTGTTATGGCACTTGAAACCTCAATATCATTAATAAATTCGCTGTCTATCACCATGTCTTTCCATGTGTTTAATGCAAACTGGAAACATTCGTGTTTTGTTTTATATTCCTGATCCGGAGATTCAAAATGGTTTTTCATATATTCGATAAGTTTGATATTTTGCCCTATTAATTCGAGATATCCGATCAAGAAAACAGAACGTGGATCGTCATTATATTTAAGTGTAACGTTGAGATCGTTACACACTTTATCTGCTGACCAATCACTTGTTCTTTCAGGATTTTCGCATGAGGATCTCCCTCGCGAAAGATTGGATGACATATCTCCGTATTTTAAATGGTTTTCACTTTTGTTTTCCTCCAGACTGTAAAAGTGGGTTTAACAAAAATTTCTTCGCCTGAGCCAGGGGAATATAAGTAAGGGGGAGGGAAACCAATGTTAATATGCTGGGAAGATCTTATTCGAACCTGTTGGAACTTTACCATATAAATTGAGTAAATATCAGAGGTTATTGAAAAATAAATCGTATCTTGCTATTGGTTTAAAAATTAAAAGGTCAATACAGTTTTGTTTACTAACTAACGCGTATTAATTACAGCCATATGCACATGTTTAAATATGGATCATAATAGGCATATATATGATTATAAAATGGCAACATTTAAAAAAAAAGACCTTAAATTTATATGTTTCTGTTGTGCACATATTTTTTAACAATATTAACGAATTGATGACAGGTAATTTGCATTCTAACTGCAATGCTCCTTTGAACGTGTCACCAGGTCGTTGTATTTCAACTGTTCGAGAGTTCTTAACTTCTGTTACTCTGTCACGGAATAGAAGTTCCTCCATAATATAAGTTCCAAATGGAAACAGTATTCTGGAATATTACTTCCACTGGAATAAAGATTACAGTAAATGTTCCTAACAGAATAAATGGTATAGAATATTTGTTCCAACAGGAACAGATATTATGACATTGTTTATAACAAAGTTTCCAGTGGAACTTCTGTTAGGCGGAACAAATATACGTTGACAACTGTCGAGTCAGTGATGATTATTTCATTTTTTTCGTCTTCATCTTTTATTTACTTTTCTTCTATTATTAAAAGGATGCACTATTTATCTATTTACAACAAAAGCGGCTTGTTTGTATGTGCTTATGACAGCACCTTAGACAACAGAATATTTTATTCCAGTTTTCTTTATTTTTAGGACCACTCTGTATTTGTCAATGTGAAATCATATATGTACATAAAAAAACATTATTGTGACTTTTATCATTAAAATATATTAAAGAGTTTATAGAAAGAAATCATAAGGGTTCCGCGGAACCCAGTGTCTCGCCTACTTTTGTTGTAATAGTGTTATAGTAGCAGGCTCAACAAAAATGGGGGAAATTATTGATTTTTTTCTTCTAGATACTATCTTTTTACTCTGTCCAACTGAAGTGTGGTTAAAATCCAGGATGGTTTGAATCAAATAAATGTTTTAAAAACTTTAACTGCAGACTGCAGAAGTCCATGTATACATAAGTAATATACGGAAAAACAGAAAATAAATTTTTATAAAATTTCCTTCTAGATACTAGCTTTTGATTATAAACAAGCTTCTATCCAAGTTTTAAAAACTTTTAACACACAGTGAATGTAATGTTAACTGGCAGAAAAATTAAGTCCATTAATAAGTAAATACGGATAAACAGGATTTTTTTTTGCAAAATTTAATTACTTCTGGATACTATCTTATGATCATAAACAAGCTTCCTTCAAAGTTTGGTAGAAATCGATGATAGTTTTAGAAAGTTATTAAAATTTTAAAAACTGTAACCACAGAGCTAGTGAATATTTGTTGACGCCGCAATGTAGGATCGCTATGTCTCGCTTTTGCGACAGAAGTCGCAGTCTTGACAAAAAGAAGATGTGGAATGATTGCCAATGAGACAACTCTCCACAAGAGACCAAATGACACAGAAATTAACAACTATAGGTCACCATACGGCATTCAACAATGAGCAAAGCCGTAAATACATATATAGTCGGCTATAAAAGGCCCCGAAATGACAAATGCAAAACGAGAAAACTAACGGTCTAATTTATGTACAAAATAATGAACGAAAAACAAATATGTAACACAACAACCAACGAAAACTATGCACTGAATTACAGGCTCCTGACTCGGGGCAGGCTCATATACAGAATGAGGGGTTAAACATGTTAGCAGGGCTTTGGTAGAATATTCCAATACAAGAACAAACCATAAAAATCAGATGGAATCAAATAGAAATACATCTAACAAAAAACAGACTGTACTATCTATTATCCTTTCATTTATTTAATAAACAGGATAGATCCACCCTTTGACCACAACCTATGATATTTTAATTCCAGGATCCAGTCATTTTGAAAGGGGATTCCGACTCCAGGAACACTCCCTGGATCTGCCGATGATTTCACGGGTTTCATTGTGTTTAGGTGTTTTTTTTTCAATTTGAGGAAATAGGCAGTAGAATTATTTGTAGGTTTTCGTAGCGTGGATTTCAATTGTGTAATCTCAGCAGGCAGATGCATGTCATGCCGAAGTCACATTAGACCACGATCGCATCACGCTCACCGCGATCTAAAATAAATTCAGATCGTGGTGAGGTCGCGATAAGAGCGGCTTGAAATGTAGATTTTCGTTGTTTTCGCGATGCTACTACGTCCACGTTACGCTTCTACAACGATCTTGCTACGATTATACCACGTTCTCACCACGCTTATTCTGCGACCTCACTACGATTATTTCGATCTTACTACGCTTATCACGTTCTCATAACGACCATATCACGATTTATCCGATTGCAACACGATATTACCACGCTTCTTCTGCGATTATAGCACGCTCTTACCACGATCATTCTACGATCTTACCACGTTCATACCGCGATCTAACTACGACTCAGCAATAACGTCAACATCATGATCCCTATCTACCAGAACTCGTGGGCGTGGTGGTGGGGGAAATGTAGTCAGATGGGCCTCTGGTACGAATCCTGATCCAGTACAGATGTCGGATCAAGCAATCCAACCTGAATCACAACGTATTGCTGATCTATCCAGATCAACTGACGATATTTTATTGAACAAAAGTGGGAATGATACCCACGGGAAATGATACAGATGTGTAAAGCATGGTTGAGCTGTTGGATATTAGGGTCATGAGGTCCAAATTACATACAGACAAATAAAACATGGAGAGCTTTTATATATTTTATGTGACAATGACAATGAGCATGGCTAGAACTCGAAATGGTCGTAGTATGAACGTAGTCGGGTGTAAGACGGTCCTGATGAGGACGGCATGAGCAGTGGCGGACCCAGAAATTTTCATAAGGGGGGCCCACTGACTGCCTACTGAGAGGAGGCCCGCTCCAGTCATGCTTCAGTGATTGCCTATATAACGGGCAACCAAATTTTTCCCACAAAAGGGGGGCCGGGCCCCCTGGTAAACCCTCTAAATCCGCCTCTGATAAGCGTGCTAGAATCGTACTCAGGGGCGGATCCAGCCATTTTAAAAAGAGGGGGGGTTCCAACCATATGTCCCTATTCAAATGCATTGATCGTCCAAAAAAAGGGGGATTCCAACCCCCGGAACCCACGTCTGGATCAGCCAATGGTATTATGGTTTTGATCAGCGTAGTATAAACGTGGTATAGTCGTAGTAGAAGCGTTGCTTGGTCGCGGGGAGAACGTGATGGTCGTAGTGAGGTCGTAATAACGTCGCTGTGAGATCGTAGCGCAATCTCTCGGACTAGATTCGCGCTTACGCTTCGCTCTCGCTACGATGGTACAGCGACCTTGGCAATCTTACCACGACCTTACTGCGCTCTCGCTACGCTTCTACTACGACCTGATTTCGGCACGACCGCACCACGATTGTCTTGAACATGTTCAAAGATGGCCACGCTCATCACGATCATGAAGACCTCACCACGACCTTACAGCGATCTTCACGATCGCACTACGATCGTCAAAATTTGCATTTTTTTCAGAGATCGTAGTGCGATCGTGGCCTAGTGTGACTGCGGCATAAGGAGCACTATTAACACTTAAAACAATAAGTCAAAAACTCAAATACAAACTGTATGTACATAGTTTGAAAAACTGGATTCCCCACTTTACTTTATTTCGTGTCATTCTTTTTTTATGTTTTTGTTCCAAGAACAGAATTCAATCCCTCAAAACAACCAGCTAACTACTTTTTCATGTAGTATGTCAGGCCTCTACAATAACTTTTTTTCCAACTTGCCCAATAGGACAAGTACATATCAAAACTTACTTGTCCGAATGGAATTGTAACTTGTCCAAAAAAAAAAACCTTTATACTATCCTTTTTTTGCATTTTAGATTGATTCAATGAACAAAATGAATTAAAACAATAGAACAGAATTTGATTTATATTTCTTAATATCCTTTTCAAAAAGATTAGTCGAGAACAACTGAATCTAGTCATGTCTAGTCACAGGACTTAGGTCCTAGTTTTCATCAATGCCAAAGACTCTTCACATCAGGCACAGTCTGGTAGGCCTTCAGTCTACACTCTTTTGGTTTGTATCCTGGTCTTTTATGTTGATAAAATATTGATTATTATTATTAATGCCTTACTACAATCAGCTTTGTTTTAATATATTAAAATGTTTATTCAAACACAATCAAATATTGTTTTGTCTAAATATGATCATATGATTTTATGAATTTTATGGTCAATAATTTCTTCATTTTTATTTAAAAAATATTTTTGTTAAATACAATTTATCATTTTTTTATTATAAAGCAACAGAATAACATGGGGAAAAATGAGGTACATTTTTGTACTGGTTTTTCTTGGTACCGAAATGTCTCAAACAGTACCGAACTGTCTATTAAACATGGAGCCGATTCATTTCCTTGCCGGTGCCGAACTGTCTTGTTACCTTATCTACAGAGCGCACCGCTGATTCCGATAGTAAGACTGATTTCGAGAATAGTATGCGTTTTATTTGTTATAAAGTATCTGACAAAGAACCAGTTTTAAATTATCGATCGCAAGTAAACATGTCAAATTACTATTTATTTTTATCCTCTTTTCTTGTTTTTTGTTTATTACTTTGATCATCAAAGTTGGATTTAATTAATTTTCTACAGAATGATTTTACTTGTCCCGTCGGACAAGCTTGATATGGTTTTTACTTGTCCGACCTTTTTTTCCTCTGGTACCGGACAATCGGACAAGCGTTATTGTCGAGCCCTGTATGTCTCTGCTTGAACATAACATATTGTGATTAAAAGCACTGAAAACAAATTTTCAAAAGTGTTGGACAGACTGAATATTCCTGGATCATTTGATTCCATTTTATTTGTTCTTGAAAACTGGGACCATTTGTATTAAACCTAGTTGAAAATAATCCAAGTCAATATCCTATTGAGTTCTCATTCTAATTTTCATTGCCTTTGGTGGCTATTTTGAATTCTCTGTTGACCCAAAATAGTACCTATTGTGAATATGACTGTAATTGGCTGTTATGTTTAGTTTCAGTGAGTTGGCTGGTTTAAGAGGAAGCCTTGATGGTTGGTTATCTTGTCGGAATTATTTTACACTTTGTAATCTTTGTCTCTTTCATAGATTGCTACACAATGCCATACATAACAGTTTCTGTTACCTGTATTTTCTAACACTTACTTTGGTCTCTGGTGGAAAGTTGTCGCATTGGCGATCATACCACATCTCCCTATTTTATATTGATACAGATCCAAGAAAATAGAAGCTACAAGTATCATTCTATTAAACATCCAAATTTCTCAGAAAGGCAATTCTATTCTGTACTTTTGGATATATGTTTTTTTTAATTCTAGACAATTTTAGTCAACTTGAACTTTCACATAGACAGTTAATTTATATGTGAGCCTGTCTGTTTTATTTAAATGGTTGACAATATATCATTTATCCATTTCATATCCTTGTGACATTAAAATATTCTGAGCATACATGTAACATGACATGGGAAGAAAGATAGTCACACATACCAAATAGTTCTTATATTTGGGATATTACATGTGACTGTAAATACTAATATATATGTTAGTATTTTCATGATAACAGGTCTAATAACCACTTGACTTGGTTAAAAAAATTCTTGGATTCTATGAAAAGGAATGCTTTTCTTTTTATATGCAGCTTGAAAATGTTGAGTTGATGCCTATTAGCAATTTAAAGATCTGCCATGTCTGCTGTGCAGCTACATCTTGTTTCCTGGTATTTCAGAATTAATTGCATGCAGCCACAAAGGTCCAGACCTGGTATTTTCAACATCTTTTCTGGTACATGTAGCTCATTTTTACCTGAAAAAGAGAAGAGTCATATAGATATTTTGATAATATAAATAAAGAATAAACAAAATTGGCATGTAATTATATAAAGATCAGCGGCAGATCCTTAAATTTTCATAAGAGGGTACCAAGTCATGTTTCAATGATTCTCTATATGATCAACCAAATTTTTCCAATAAAATGGTTGGCAGCCAACTGCCCCCTTTCTAAATCCACCTCTGGAGATAAAATTGTCTTATTGTTACTGCTGATTCATTCAATTGTGTATACAACAGAGGAAAACAGTCCAATAAAATTATATTTTCTAGAAGTATGTTAGATGACTAATGTACTATTAACAAACAAGTCCATTTGCCTTGCTTATATACTCAAACGACAAAAAAAAATGTTTTTTTTCAACTGAAATATAGAACTCTTATAAATGTTTGTACATTCACTGATAAGCTGATACGTCATTTCTAATAATTATATACATGTATATGTACTTACACCTTGAATTCAAACAGTCTCTGTATGTACATGTATCTCGTTCTTTCCATTTCACATACCTCTGCAATCAGAACAGCATCTGCAACAACCAAAATTTAAAGGTGTGAAAAAAATAATTGAAATTTTCAAAGTGCAATAATATCAAAACAGCAACGATAATGAATATTAGAGATTAGCCATTTTGCACATATACATGTACCAAGGGGAAACTCCTTTCAAAGCTATATTTTATTTATTGTTTCATTGCATTAAATAGAAAATAGGGATAATGTGGCGCAAAAAGCATATAAGATTTTTGAAGAAAATTCACAGACTTTATACAGAGATTTTTGTTATAAAATTTATAACATAGATTACTCACTTGTTTGTCCATGATGTGCTAGCGTTTGTTATTTACAAAAAGGCTTAAACAACCTTTACATTCTAAAAAACCTTGTGCTGAGTCACTAAAGTCGAGTGCACCCTAGAAGGTGTACTTGAATTGGTCCATATTTATATTTGTCCTAACCAATATTTTGATTTATAAACTTGTCCTAAGGAAATCATTGCTAGCACTGCAAGTAGTAATGCTCTATCTACTAAGCATAGAATGGTCAAACATTAGATTACAAGGGAACGGCTGGATTTTCTTTAAAATTTCCATCTTTAGCATTGAAACAACAAAAGGGTACATAATCCTTAAAGAGTTCCAATTAAGAGCTCATGTTCCTTGTTATTGATATTTATATATGCAACCGACTTTAAATAAAGATTACTTTGCTGTACTTTACTTAAATGACTATGAGACAAACTTTTCATATAATCAGACATATTGTCTCATTGGCACTCATACCCCATCTTCTTATATCTATATACAAACTGTATATTATTTCAAACAAAGCTGTCCAGTCTTTTGCTTTTTTTATGGTCATGATCATGCATTAAAAAAATATGAGTTAATATACTTAAAGGTGTATAGGCGGATCCAGAGGGGGGGCAGCCCCCCTTGGGTCAGTCAGTGGGCCCCCCTTATAAAAAGTTCTGGATCCGAAACTGAAAATCACTTTGGTTGCCTTTATGAAAGGAGCAATAATGCTTACCATGTGCAAAGATTTAATATTGACCTGACAATTAAACAATGACTGAGAGTATACAACAGTACAACATGGTACATTTTTGTAAAAAATATACATGACCAGATGACTATTATCAAGCAATGACAATGTAAATTATATAATAAAATCTAGGGTATTATTCACTTACATTCTGCCAACACTTAAAGTAGGAACTATTTCTATGTTTCGTCATGACTGTGAGGTAAACAATTTGTGAGGTGGTGTTTGATTAGCATATCAATAGAAAAACAACAATGTCAACTGCAAACTCATTATTTTGTTGATTGATTTTATTTTTGTCATTCAATATCGAGTAGTAGACTTTTATACACCATTTGTTATGGATAATATGTCAAAAAATAGAATAGTTTATCTTTTTATTTCATTTTCTTGAAAAAAGTTGAAATCGGAAGTATCTTTCGATTTCGTTTCAATAACTTTTAATAGCACAACTTTTTGGTCGTCTGGTTACAATAGTTTTTACAGTGCGATTATTATTGTCATATAGATAGATCGCAAGATATGTGGCAGACTTACGTGTCATTCTGATATATACGATCCGCTAAATCAACCTTTTTGTAATCACAAAACTCGGTCTTCCCCGCATAAACATGGCGGTTGCATTATAGTAAGGAGTTGTTTCCCCTTATTGCCTGAGCACTGTCAGGGAAATTTTAGTACAAGGGAATAAAACTAATGTATGTATCCTTGTGTATATTTGTTCTGTATATGCATCCTTTTTAGGAGCACCATAATGAGATATGACGTATATGACGACAACACTATTTTTTTTATGGATTGTATATATACTAATCTAGTCCGTTCCATGTCTTTAAACAATATTAATTGAAAATAAGGACTTTTTTAGTGTTTACCGTGTGACACGGGTGCTCCGTTGCGGAGGAATTTACCTAGAGAAGAAGTCAGTGGCGGATCCAGAAATTTTCATAAGTGGGGGCCCACTGACTGCCCAAGAGGGGGCCCGCTCCGGTCATGCTTCAGTGATTCCCTATATAATCAACCATATTTTTCCCAGAAAAGGGGGGGGGGGGGGGGCGGGCCCCCTGGCCCCCTCTAAATCCGCCTCTGTAAGTGGACATTTAATTGTCACACTGTTTAACATAGGTTTTGATTTGAAAATTGTTATGCATACACAAGAAAAGAAATTGCTGGTATATCTACATACCATGGTTTTTTATTGTGAGTCAGAATTTTTTTTCGCGCACAGCGACCGTTTTTATTTTGCTTTTCAAATTTAACACTATAAGGTATGGGGAAAATCTGGTTACAGAATATTTTTTTCCATACCCCCTCCCCCTTGAAGTTTAATGGTCGTTCCCTTAAACGTTTTTGGTTTTGAAGCTATAAGATACCTTCAGTTAGATTGTGTAATCTTTTATCAAATTTAAATGCTATTTTTAGATTATTAACTAATACAATATATTTTTTGATCTTTTGATTTACCAATGCTGCGGAAATTGGATTACTGCAATAAGTGTCTTCTATGCAAATTGGCATTAAAAATCAAAATAGAAATGAAAAATGATAGAAATATGATATATAAGAAAAACGAAACACATCAAAAGTTCAATTGTAGGCTGTCTAAAAAAAAAACCGAACAAACAAACAACAGTCAATAATGGAGTAAAACAGCTCGTTAAATCACGTACACAAAATATTTCAGACTGAATGTCCAGAATACTGTGGCAAAAATTACAGTTTAAGTATAAGACAATATTTTTCACCAAAAATAAAATGTAAGCCTTCATAAATTACTCGTTTGAACCATGCATTAACACAACTTATTTGAAAAGCACTCTTTCATAAATGGTTGCTATGAGACTCTTTATTCGGACAGTCAGCGTTATTGACATATCAGATCTGATCACCGATACATTTTGTGACTTCGCCATTATAAGTGAGAAGTAAGTAAAGTAATAAGTTCAAGTTGAAAGCTTGTGGTTTGAGGCAAGCAGTTGGAAGTCTTTACGGTAGTTGCAGACTTCAGAGTTGTTCTGAATATGTAATTTCTCACGGGGAAGGTCACAGTCTCTCGAACAGGTAGTTTGTGGTTGTCTGGTAACTTCAGTGCTTCAGAGTTTCAGAGAAAAGGTTTCTCGGAGACTATATATAGGTGCATGTCTCATGAATTTACGAATTCAATATTTAGAGCTTGGATTGTGCTACCTAAGTTTGAATATCGGTTCTTTGTTCAAGGAAGATTAAAAGTTGATAAATAATTGAAGGTTTAGTTTAGAAGTTTGAATACAAAGTAACTTGTAAATTACGTTGTACATTTTGTAGGTTTTTTTGTAGCCTTACACTTCAGGTACCATTCAAAGGTTTTACTTTAATAATTGTTTCAATTAGTTTGGTGCTTAGTTTTCTAGTAACTTGAAATGTTACGCATTGTTATGTAGTATGTGCTGTTTGAATAGGAACTAAATTTCATATATAATGAATTTACCGAGATTTCGAACCGATATTTGTCTTTTAAAACATACTCAAAGTTCATCTATTGTTTATATGCCAGATATTTGTGCATTGAATTCAATCGAAGTGTTTTGTTACTAGTATGATTTATTGTGGTTTCAGTTAATAAGTTTGAAGTTCATGTAACATAGATACAGAATTCTAATGCAACATCGTTTGTAACGTTCATTTTGATTGGATAACGTCGCTAATTTTCATGGCATCAATTCACAATAATCACTTGCTACATTAGAAGATGTAGGCACTAACTGAAATGTGGGTTATTGAGTGACAGAACACCGTCAATCTATCTATCTGAAAATGAAATTAAAAAACTTTGCAAAATACATTTTCTGTTTGTCTTTGAGAAGTTTCTATATGAATACTGCTTCATATGAGTACAATAACAGATAGGCCAGTATAGCGATGCACAATTTTTACCCATTGGAATACCAACTGTGCTAAAATTATTCCAACATCAAGTGGCACCCGTCATGTTGCTCCTAGTAAGTAAAAAACTTGGGTACATGTCTATAGTTTGATGATATCACAATCCAGGAAAACAGGAAGAGATTTAAGCTAAAAGGTAATTTTAACACGGATATCTCATAAAGTCCAACACACTCGTGATGGCGCCTGTAAAACGTTCGAAGCATGACCATCATTGGTCTATATTGCCGTATGGTTCTTACATCTTTGCGAGCCAAGGGTTAAATGTACGAACTGGCCCCTCAGATGAGTCAGATCGTGACCGTATGTACTAATCTGTGCCTACTGCTTAAATGTTCATATTGTTACGATCCTGATGAACTTCATAGATATTTATACAGATATTTGTTCAGTCATTCAGACATGTATATAAATAGTATAATTTTTGAAATTGTTGTCAAGAACAAAGAATTGCACTTGCGGTCTTTGTGCGAGACGCCGTTTCACAGTTTCTATGATACAAAGGTTTGCATTCCGCTTTTAAACGTATATTCACTTTTGGCCTAAGTATAGTTCACATGTGTAAAGACACACATTGGTATTTAAGAGTATTACTAAGATCAAAGTTTGGTCGCCCGGAGACAGAATAATGTATACGGGCAAGGTGACACGTGATGCTGCGAACAGGTTACTTTCTTAACTAGCTCGTTGAAAACCCGACTCAGCTTGTCGTTAATATAACATTAACATGTTTTCGTTCTTAATATCAATTTATTTTGCCTCTTGACGTTAAACATTTATCCTTTAATCAAATTTTGTTGTTGTTTTGGAATCGGTATAGTTCGTCACAAAGTAAATTTTTTAGTGCCTTTACACAAGGAAATTTTTATACGATTCATAATTTGTATGCAAAATAACGGTTTAATAACTGTTTAACGTTGTACAAAGATAAGAAGATGTGGCATAATTGCCAATGAGACAGCTCTCCACCAGCAACCAAAAGACATAGACGTTACAATTTTATGCCACCGCACGACCTTCAATAATGAGCAAAACCCGTACCTTATAGTCAGCTATGACATCCCTAATGTAAAACAATTCAAACGAGAAAACTAACAGCCTGATTTGTGTAAACAAACAACAATGAATAAAAACAAATTAAATATGATATACAACAGCAAACAACAACCACTGACTTACAAGCTCATGACTTAAATTGGGACAGGAACATAAACAATGTAGCGGGATGAAATTAATTTGTTGGCGCCATACTCCTCCCATAACCTGGGACTTTGGTGTAACAGTACAACAAAAGATAAAATCATAAAAAAAAACAGCTGGAAAGGGCTTAACTCATCAGATCGATACAAGAAATCTAACGAAGGCACAGACCCGACGTGAAAGGGTATTTATACATCCCAACAACAAAAAAGAAACTTAGTGCAGATCTGAGAGTACTTGCAGTTCCTGACAGCCATTGCAAAGCTAATCACAATTAATAAAAAAAATCAATCATCTTTGACTAAAATATCAATCAGTACACATCCAACATCCAATGGATTCAGTGTAAAGACGTCATTAACAGTCATCGAAAAACATGACATTGGGCCATGCCAATATGCAGGTATCGACAAATTGTAGAACCATGAATGAGCATATGCATATATAAAAGTAATATTTAATTTGATTTTGATTTACTTTGATTTTTGTTGTTGTTCAAATATTGGATAGGAAGTAAATATTGAGCTTAGAGACCATTTTTTGCATTAAATGATAGTTAGTTTGATGTTTTGTAGTTCAAATATTAAAAAAGGAAATAGATATTGAGCTTGGAGACATGTTTTGTTTCGCATATATTATTACAGTGTATTATACTAAATAAATTACAATCAATGAAAAATGCTGTTAATATTAAATCAACAATCAAACTACATTAACTTACATTAGCTTGTTTAGATAATAGAAAATTAAATACAGGCAAAAATCATTAGAATTAACTCCATTATGATAAAGTCGTCATTATTCGAATCAAATGATTATGGTCAGATCATATGTTTTCGTACTATGGATGCTTTTTCAATGCAAATTGTGACGTCACAGTGCATTCTTAAAAGAACGAAAACCCACGAGACAAGGATATATTCAGAGCAAAAGCAAAGATGGAACGAAGTTTCAAGAACTATTTTTGTTTTATAGTGACCAGTTTTATTACTTTAATTCCTAGAAGTATTGATGGAGATTTTAACACAATGACCGAAAGAAAAGAACTACGGAATAAACATATAAAAGGAAATCTTGTTAAATCTATGACGACGGAGACCAGTATAGAGTGCTTTAGAGAATGCAATACACTTACACAATGTTCATCAATGTCTTACAACCCACGAAATAACATTTGTTATATGTACTCTATGTTAAAATATTCAGATGTAACCTTGGATGATGGAAGGATGTACTATTTGAAAGGTTAGTAGGAAATGTATAGATATCTTTATCACGGAAATTGGTAATATATCAAGAACCGACTCTGTTAATATTTTGGATATCGTGTCTTAAACTGTTTCATTAAAACCGTTCTAAATTGGCGTAGAATATAAAATCGCAATCAGAGAAAATTACGTACCAACAATACAAATATTTCGGTATTTTTAATGGTCATTCTGTTGAAATTCAAATTCCTGGCTGTTTTGATTATACTGAACGCCTTCTAATTTCTAATGTTTACAAGCAACCCACCAAGGAAGCTCGAATAAAACAAACTTAAAAAGACCAAAAGTAAGTAGTTGAAGAACATCGAATATTATCTTTCGTTTTAGATAAGTTTAAATTATCGCTATTTTACGAAATTTTCCTTTGATCTAACTGACTGATAATTTCCTTTCTCAGCACAGTAGAGTGATATGAAAAATTATCGGTAGAAACTAAGAGCGCACGTGCCGTTGTCAATGAAATTAACGACGTCTTCATAGGTAAAATAGCGATAAACAGATTATCATTCGTCATCTCAACTCGATTGCTTTTCTCACTTTCGCCGTACCGGCTCAAGCGAGAAAATCAATCTCGTTGAGATGACCAACGATAATCTATAAATATTAAATATCCATCGTTCAATCTCCTTTAAAGTGATAGTTTATTATGATAATAGCAAAATTATTGATGTATGATTTGAAAGCATGATCGAGGATGTACAGCAGCTCATTTATAGACACAATACATTATGGAGAGGGATCACATATGATTTGCCTGTTGCCCAATCCAATTCAATTTATTTGAATAAAATACTGTTTAAACTAAACAATAAATTGGAGATACTTCAAGAAAATGTAGATTATGTGAGCAAACTTCAAATTTTAACTATGTCTATCTAAGTCATCTGCTTATTTCAAAAAAAAAAAAAAAAGGAAAGAAAGAGAAACGTGATAGTAATAGGCATGAAATAATCAATCCGTTAATGAAGTTAGTAACTATTAGGACACATTAATGTTCTTTCTCACAAGGCAAAACTGATCTTAAAGGATCTTGCAAGGTTCTTTTTGGGCAAATAGGTCTCCACCTGTTTTGATACTTTCAAATCTTGTAGTTTTGAGAGTTCCAAATGCAGGCAAATCCAGAAAAGCGACTCGGGCGCATACATTTGATAGCGCTTTTTTTTTACATTTACAGATGTTAACAATTGTCTGACAGAAGAAGGATATTCATACAAATCGAATGTCATGCTGTGTATTAAGTTTTATAATGTTAAGGTAACATACCATGAAGCTGTTTCTACATGTCAATCAGAAAACTCATCACTAGTCAGAATAGACAGTCAGGAAAAACAAAACGTTTTGTATTCTTTTTTAGCAGGTACGTATTGTGTTCATGCTATATATCATATGTGGTTTTGGGTGATCATTTCAGTAAGCTTTCATAGTTTCATATGATTTATCAAAGGTATGACGTTTATCAAAATGTATTGTACTTATTTTTGTTAGTATGTGAATTGTATTTTCACTAACTTACATCGTGTATGCTCTAGAAAAAGTTCGAAGAGCAAAAAAAAAAAAAAAAAAACAACAAAAAAAAACCCCTAAAAACCCCCGGTATATTTTGATAGAATTTCAAACCAAATTATGAACTACCTTATTTCGTTGACGAACCGAGAGCCTTGCGCAACTGATTATTAACCTATAATATATTTGATGAGTTTTTACATCCAGGTCGTTGCTACTGTTCGAAGGCGATGCGTCCCAGATGGTATCACTAGCACAATAGTCATCAGTTTTGCATGCATATGGAATATCGATGACACTTTTATTTTCTGTAAATATACTGTTTTTAACATGTTGAATTATTTAGAACACTTCAGGTTTTGATTTCCATACATCTTCTTATATCTATATATAACTTTTTGAATTTTTTGGTTTTCAATACATTTTAACTTCGTACTTTATTTGCCTTCAAACTGTTTTCAGTTAATAAGTCTTAAATATGTAGACATAAACGCACGTCAAGTATACCAAATTATCATCCTGGTATCTTTGATGAGGTTTATAAAATAAGCGAGAACGTTAAATGAACGAAAAATACGACGGATGCCACATGTGGTGCAGCATTTGCTAACCCTTCCAGAGCACATGAGATCACCTCCGGTTTTAGTTGGTGCTCGTGTTGCCTAGTCTGTAAGTTTCTATGTTGTCTTTTCGATAATGCTTTTTAAAAAATAAGAAGATGTGATTTGATTGAGTTAACTCTCCACCAGAAACCAAATGACATAGAAGTTAACAACTTTATTTTTTCGTCGTTTTTTTTTTACATGGCATCGTCAGTTTATTTTCGTGTTTGAAGATCCCTTTGATATATTTAGCGCCTCTCTTTTAAAAATCATGATCCCTTGGTTATTCAAGACGCATCTATGAACAAAGTCTTGTGAACTATGACTTATAATTCCACAGATAGATGGACTTTAACTTTGTGACGGACAGAAGAAACACTATATCCCTTCCCAAACTTCGTTTGACAACAGATATAAAAATCTTAAAGCAAACAAATGTCAAATTATTCCTCTCAGTAAAGGTTGAGAAATCCTGGACATGATGTTTTCATTTCTATTCGGTTTTGGTGAAATTTTAAATTATCAACAAACAGACATAAAAATATGAATGTAGCTTTGTATGATATTTAACAATGAATTTTGCTCAAACCGATGCGACTCAGAGGTCAACTTGAACTTACTACGTTATGAGAAATATTGCTCATTGTTGAATGCCTCATGATGACTTGAAGATGAAGGACAATAATACAAAATTTCCATTTTTGGGTTGTACCGTGTATTGAAATGATATTGTCTCGTGTACATTTACTCTTCATATTTTCATTGAGTATACGACGGACTAAACACTGCTTTCATACTACAACTAAAAATCAGAAAGCTTCAGACAGTATAGCAAATTTTTCTCTTCGTAACAGCTGTGAAATCCTTGACAAAATGTTTTCATTTCTATTTGGTTACAGTAAAATTGCAAAGTATTAACAAACACCAAGTGGATATTTGAGAGGTTTGAAAATCACTTTCAGTTACTGAAACATGTTACCAATAAAAACTCTCGAGATCGTTTACGTTGAAAGTAAATTTAAGATATCTTTATTATGATTATTTTTCTAAATGATGAAAACTGTATATATAATCATCAAAATAGAATATAAAATAACCATTTTGAGAAAAAAAAAATGCAAACTATAAATCATTTCCCAGGTTCCGACGACGAGTTGTTGTAAGAACATGGTTGCTTGTTTACATTTCTAAAAATAACCTGTTTTTGGGAAATTTACGGAAATATGAGTCACGCATTCTGTGCATAAAAACACCATGACCATTCATTGTTATAAATATATTTAAGTTTTTCTTTTGCCATCTTCTTCTTTTATAAAAATTAATAAAAATTTATTTGTTTCAATTACCTAAAAATCTTTAATTTTGCATATACAGAAGATCCGCAGAAAATCATGTAACAATCTCAAACCCATATCATATAATGGACCGGCTTAGTACCGGCCCATAATAAGACTAAATCAATACATGTATTAGTCAATATTATAACTGTAATATATTGCATGTATTTGTAGTTGATAAACAGTTCACGACAGGTCATGTATACTTGCAAGGGAAAAGAATCCCAAATACATCAGAATGGGAATTTGATGATGGAACCCCTATAACATACTTACCATGGAATCTAGGCCAACCAGAAGCGTATGATCAAATTTATTTATGCTCATTAGCTCAAGACCAGGGAATGTGGCATGACTGCATCGGGACACAGTTATTTGGATTTGTTTGTGAACTTAAATTGTTCTAGTTCGAAAAAAGGTGATATTTGACTTTAATTGATCATAGTAATGACCTTCTGACTCGATGCTCGGGTGATGAAAAATAAACTCTTGTTACGCTAGTGTTTCATTACATATTTGCATGTCAATACAACAGTACAAACGTTTGTTTTGATTCTCAGTGATTTACCTTTTCAGATATGAGAAGGTAATCATCTAACTATCCAAAATCGATGCATTTACACTTAAATCAATTAATTCCATCAAATTTCAATAGCAAAGACAATAACAGTTCCCACCAATTCTCAACGTACAAGTGTTTGCATGTACAAACTTCATTTCAAATTATCTGTCTTTTTAAACAGAGTTTGAATGTTTTGAACCTTTCAGATAGTCGTTATGATATGATAAAATCACATTAATTCCTTTCTTAAAAAGAAAATTCTTTCAAATACATAACATAGTTTTACTTGAGTCAAAATTTGCTCTTTTTATTTCAATCCAAGATGACAAAACACACAATTACAGCTTAGATCATTGTTGAATAAAGACAATAGCCCTTTGTTTATTCTTGGTATTTCAAAAACTTTTGTATCAAATATTTACCACATATCCATCATTTCAAAATTTTGAAAGTGTAATTTCTTAATTTTTGAAATTGGAAATATTATTTTGGAACAATGAATTGCATTGTCATTCATAGTGAATCTTCAGGAATAAATTTATTATTTGATGATTATCACCTATGTCATGCTTAACAAGCGAATATAATAAGATAACAGATTTACTACTTCTTCGCCGTATTTGATTATGGAATAACTAATTGAAGAATTAAAAAAAAGATAAATATTCAACTAGTGACAAAGCAACTCATAAATTTACGAATGCGCGTGCGTTAATTATCAGTGTTGTTCGGTCACAAGTTGAATATATTTCGATATTTGAATTCTTTGATTTCTTATTCTTTTTATTGCATTGAAAACGTTTTTTTTTAATTCGAATTAAAGTAGAAATTTTAAGGATCAATATCTTTTTCTATGCATTCACAATTTGTTTTGATGCGGCGTCAGCAACAACTTATTGCAATACATATTGTTGTATGACGTAAGAGGAGTGAAACAAGAAGTATTTTCGGGTTTTTAATTGAACTGGGAAAACACGGAAATTTATTGCACCATAAGTCATAATCTATCTTAATTGCTTAAATCTGAAGAAAGCTGAATCTCAAGCCTTTAATATTTTTAGAAATTTTCTTAGCCATGAATTTCTCATATATCAACAGTTTCCTTTTACCAAGCTGCATCAATGATATGATTTTTTGGATCAGCTTTTTTGTCGTTTGAGCACTAGTTTCGGGCTGTTGCTCGTCTTTGGTCGTCATAATTTTTTTTCATCCCCGGATAACAGTTCCAACAAGGGATTTTCTCCTTGAACCATTACTTGAACTTTAGATATTGAATTGTAGACGATGCTGTAACTGCTAGTGAGGGGAGCGATGTTCTCAAATGTTTTCCCGTAACAGATACATCAAACAACCGGAGAAACAGCCAAAACCTTTTTAGATATATTGAAACAAATTGGAAATGATACATGCGTAACACTGATAGGCCACACAAACTTATCCTAAAAATAATGTTGTTAGGCTTTGTTCAGATCATATCCGTGATTTCATATGATTAACGTATTTTTTTTTACGTAAGCAGAATGAAATTAATGAGCAAATATCCGTGTTTTTATCACTATTTTCATAATCTGGTAGAGTGGCCATCTCTAAATGAATTAAGAGCACAATTGTGAAAAAAAACCTGCTAATGTGGATGCTATTGACTAAGATTCAACGAAAATTTGCAGGTCACTAGTTGATTCCAAGAAGCTTTAATTTTAGGGACATGCAATGATATGGTCAACTGGTAGAAATACAGAGCTTGACTCTCTTGAAAGGATAGTTTATGATAAAATATATCCTAATAGATATCCTTTTGATATCGAAAAATTAAAAATTTCATCAAAGAATACAGAGTTGCTGTTGAGAAAAAAAATTAAGAATTATAGAGATATGGATAAAGTTTGCAAACTTTCCACCAGGAAATTCTATCAAATTGAACATATGTGTGCTGTTTTTGTATGCAGGCGTCGAGACTTGTTTTGTTGATTTCATTTAAAATAAATCTTATGAATGTGGTATTCGCTTTTTAATTCATCAACATTGTCCACTTTGAGATGGCCCCTATATAATAATCTGTTAATGTCATCATCAATGTAAATATAAAATTTTTAAACAGTTTTTGAAAATGTCTATTAACCAGGTCCGTCACCGATTGTGTTTTGTTAAAATGAACATTAGGCGTATCAAATTATTACTCATTTATGTGTATTATTTGGGACGAAAATCTATTGACCTGATGGATATCTCCAAGAAGACAAATAAATATACAACAAACGGCGGATACGGTGTTGGATAGGTTGTTTATTCATAATGAATTACAGCTTGTTTTTGTAGAAAGAATTATTCTAATGCTTTTAAGTTGATTCCACATGTATATCTATTTTGGAAGTACTGGTGTGTCAGTTTTTGGTGTTTTTCATATTACATGTATCTGTAATGTTGGATTTTCGATATTTGTATTTTCTTCCAAATAAAGTCGTTCAATAGCTGATAGTTAATGTGTACTTTTTATAAAAACCAAACTCTATGACTTACAATAAATTAGAATTATGAAGACCACATACCAAGAAGTAAATATATATGGATTTTTCTGTATGTTTAAATCAGCAAAACAAATTGAGCCAAGTCATGAAAACAGACAATACATTACTGGATTACGTAACATAATTAATATGTACAAATTGATTATTAAGTAGACACAGACAAAACTCACTATCATCACGTCAGACTTAATCAAGACTTGTATATATGGTCAATAAATCTAAACCGTTACAGAATCATGCAGAAAGGCACGTAATTGTAACCCAGGAAACAATTAGTCTATCGCCAGTACTTGACAGGAAAGTTGTTTTTGAAAGCTATTTTATATGTTTAGTTGGCATTGGAAGTCGTGCACTGCTGTTGTTTTATTTATCAAATTAAATTCAAATGTGAATATTATTCCTTTCACTATGTCAGTTCGTATGCTCCATGATGTGATCTACCGTTCTTTAAAACATAGTAAATATGTAAATTGCTTTCCGTTCTATATTTTGTGCTAATGTGCTATTGACTTTGAAATATACTAGTCAACAGAAGTAACGATACACAAGTTTGAACTCCAATTTATCATAAAATATAATAAACAGGAAAAACTGGTTAAATTATACAATGAAAAACATTCATTTGCAAAGCAAATGCATATGATTAAAAGAATCTGACTAAATTGAACAGTGAGAAAATACCGTGTTATTGAACACAGGGGTCAAATTTATTTTGCGGAAAATCATGACAAAAGTCGGCACTTAATTTCGAAGAAGTGAATTATTTATTCAAATATCTGCATAGGCATTCAAAATTTTAAGCAGACCATGTTAACGTTTAAAGATTTAAGTTCAAATATCAATTTTTGAATTTTTAGTTGAAAATACGATTTTTGAATAACAAAACTTGCCAAAAAAAAATAATCGCGTATTTGCCTTAAATCAATGATTTTGATAAGAAAATAACACTCTATAAATATTAGACCAATTGGGCAATTATTTACCCTGGTATAGTGTATCCAATTTCGTTATATATGGAAAATACATTGCCTTGTATCGTTTCTTTGTTGACTAGTATACATTTTGTTTATATAACACAATGTATGACCTAAATACATCAGCACAGTGACCCATCTATGAATGAAGGAAGTTCATAATTATGAGATTAATTCAACTATTTGAAACGAGACATTTAACGAATCTTTATAAAATGAAATGATTAAATTAGCATCAACAATACTGATAGCGTTGCTCTGTCGAACAGCTTTTCGACCCATCCAATACAGAAAAAGACCTATTGGCCAATTAACTAATATTCACTTCCGGTTACAAATGTTTCACCGAACTTTTGATGTATTTTGATGCATAATAAGTTGTTTTATCATAATTTGAGACTTATAATAACATGAAAAAGTTAAAATTATGTTTGGTGTTTTAATTCGATTCGAAATGGAAATATTCCACAGCCTTTCCGATTTACTTTTCGATTAACATCACTTTTCATTTCTGTCGAACAGAACGTGGACAATAAGAATAAGTATGGTAAAAGTCTGACTATATTTCCCAGTTAGGTTCATATTTGCTAGATAAATCGAAATCAGAAATAAAATCAATTTTGACAAAAAGTGTATTTTGACTCAGAACATATAAATTCAAATACGATTTCGGGTACCAGCTTAAAGATAAGTTTCTATGTTAAATCGACGAATCAAATGAAGAGGTATGAATTGGAGGTTCCTGTATTGACCCTGGTATAAATCCTCGATTAGCTGCATTGAACCTCGAATCTTCAAGTCTTGGGGAAAATGCAGCTTACATCGAATCTATATCAGGGGTAATAAAAAAAACCCAGCCAGTTAATAACACTATAATAAAGTTCTTTGTATATTTTTGCAATTAAAGTAATATCGAATAGTTGAGCTTTATTTTATGTTTCAAAAAGAATGAACAATAAGGGATTTATGGGAATGCAATAATAAGATAACAAAGAATAATCACACATAAAAAAAACCCCAAAAGACACCTCAATAACAAACAAGATCAGATGTGTTTTCAAAGGGACAGTATTGCTATATTGTGTAAGCGAGTTTGAGGCATATCAGATACATGTGTAAAGATAAGAAAGGTTTTCAAAGTCCATCAAAACAGAATAAATCTGTACTTCAGATTTTCAAAAGAGGCTGTACACTCTCCATAATTCACATGATGCGGTTGACCCGGAAATAACTATAGAGCTGAATTTCATGACATAATTTTTTCGTTCAATATTGATAATAGTGTTGTTTTGTGAGAAACCATCATTTTTTATAATGTTATCCTTAAATTTAAATTCCTGAATTCGCGCTTTGCTAAGAAGGATATGAAAACATTCTATTCAAAAATACTTGGAGTCAGAAATTTTATTGGCTTATGTAAAAAGTACCAGAGCAGAAAGCCGAACGGATTGTTGTCATATCCTTGTAAGCAAAGTGTGGGCACATTATCTGTTTTGTAATCTAATAGGACGATTGATAAACCAATCAGCAGTTGGAAAAAAGTTTCAAAAAATACAGAACTCTAAGGCAATTAAAAAAAAAGGAAGTCCATAAAATCTGATAAAATCAAACACAATCAACGGAACAAGTGAAAAACAATTTCCATATCCCTGACTTAGAACAGGCATTATCCGAAGAAAATGGCGGGTTAAACCCGGTTTTATAGCTAGCTAAACCTCCTACTTGTATGACAGTTGTTTATAGTTCCGTTATATTGACAAAATTGGGTGAGCAACCCAAACAGCCATAATAGGTTAATGACCATAAAACTATACTTACAAAATCAGTAATATCAGTAACACTTATACTCTATTTTTTAAAAACTTCAATCAATCTGTTGGTAACTCTGTGTTTTCCTACATTTGTAGTAGATTTG